GGGGAATGAGAGAGGACTGTAGGGGGAAAGAGAGAGGACCGTAGGGGGAAAGAGAGAGGACCGTAGGGGGAATGAGAGAGGACTGTAGGGGGAAAGAGAGAGGACCGTAGGGGGAAAGTGAGAGGACCGTCGGGGAAAGAGAAACGACCTTTGCCCCTGCACTCATGGTCGCCCCCAGCTCCCATGCCTTTCCCTCGTTCTCGGCACCCTCCCTCAACCAACCACCCTCCTTCCCCGCAGGAGCTGGCAGCATTCCGAGAGAAAAGGCGGAGAGAGCGAGGGCGAATTTTGCACCTTCCATGCTCCTCTCATTGCCCTCAATCCCAGCGTCTCCCCCTCTCTTCCAGTCCGCTTTCCCCATCCCTCCCTCTCCGCTTCCACTTCCTCTCCGCTTCCCCCTCTCTTCCTCTCCGCTTCCCCCTCTCTTCCTCTCCGCTCCCCCCTCTCCCTCTCTGCTTCCCCCTCTCTCCCTCTCCGCTTCTCCCTCTCTCCCTCTCCGCTTCCCCCTCTCTTCCTCTCCGCTTCCCCATCTCTTCCACTCTGTTTTCTGCTCTCTTCCTCTCCCTCTCTCAGCTTTGGTTGCTCCCCCCTGCTCCCATCATCTCCCCCTTCTCCTTCTCCCCCTATCCCCCTTCCCCCCCCCCTCTCTCCCTCCCCCCCGATTTTTTTTCTTCCCCCTGATTTCATTCCTCCCTCCTGCTCCCATTGTCTCCCCCTACTTTAATTGCTCCCCCTCCCATTCTCCCCCTGCTTTCATTGCTCCCCCTCCCATTCTCCCTCTGCTTTCATTGCTCCCCCTCCCATTCTCCCTCTGCTTTCATTGCTCCCCCTCCCGTTCTTCCCCTGCTTTCATTGCTCCCCCTCCCATTCTCCCCCTGCTTTCATTGCTCCCCCTCCCATTCTCCCCCTGCTTTCGTTCCTCGTCCCTGCTCCATTTCTCACCCTGTCCTCTTTGTTCCTCCCCCTCATGCCTTCCATTTCCTCCCATTCCTCTCCCTCATTCCCTTCTCACCCCCGTTTTGTTGGCTCCAGGGCGGGCATGGCTGCCCTGGGGACATGACCTTTAGGTGCGCTTCCCTTCCCCTTCTTCCCCCTTCCCCTCCTTCCACCTTTCCCCTCCTTCCGCCTATACCTCCTTACCCCAACTCTCTTTCACTCAGAACCTGAGTACCTTGCTCCCCTCCCCCCTGCAGTCATGATCAGCCCCTGAGCCTATCTCAATATCTCTTGAGCTCATCTCTCCCCCTCTCTCTCTCTCTCTCTCTCTCTCTCTCTCTCTCTCTCTCTCTCTCTCTCTCTCTCTCTCTCTCTCTCTCCTCTCTCTCTCTCTCTCTCTCTCTCTCTCTCTCTCTCTCTCTCTCCCTGCCCATCTCTCTGCCCATCTCCCCATCATCCCTTGCTCCCATACTCCTCCCATTCCCCCTTTCCCCATCCTTTCACAGCACAGATACACTCTTGCAGGGGGTGCCGTAATCACCCGAATTTTCGAGCGTATTTGCTTATCGGGATTTTAGGGGAATTTACAGGCGCATGCTATGAACTGGAATTTATAAGCCCATGTGCTAACAAAAAGGGATTTGATTGGTCGTGTACTATTCGTAATACGGTTTCTTTGTGTCCCTAATGCTGGAACACTTCATCAAGCCCATGCATTTATTTTGACTCGTGGTATAATATTGCTTGGTAGGTTGATTACATGGTTGTTTTTTGTTTTACTTAGTATCTTGCGCATGGCCGGGTTTTTCATTGTAGCATAGCGTGCTCCCTTGTGTTCTTCCTTAGCATGTATTTTGGCGATGGGTGTGCTAGTGTGGGTTGGGCGACATCGCGTAGTACCAATTCGTCGCCTGGGAGGGCTGGCGACACTGCTCATGCCGAGCGAGGTGGGGCTTTCTTCGAGAGGCCTTCATTGCCCCTCACGTCCAACCCGCTTCCTTCGCTGCGTTTCGTAACTCTTGCAAATTTCTCCCAACCCCCCTCTCAAAACCTAAGTTTTTGAGTTTGGGGGTTTTGAGACCCTCGCTTTAAAGCCTAGAAACCCAAATTAATGCAAAACATACGGACATCTTTTTCCGTCACTGTAAGAGGTTATATTGTTGTGGCAACCCCTTTACGACGTGGGTAATGTACAATGCTTGCGAGTAGTCTATGCTGGTCATTCTGAGATTCATAAGAAGCTGTTGTGTAGGGTTGCAGTAAGACGTGGCGGACTCGTGCCCTCCCATCTCGAGGTTAGTGAGCGCTTGCTCTAACTGAACTATATACAAGTTGTCCTTCACCATGTAGTACATTTGCATGATGAACTGCCCAGCGTGCAACCTGGAATCGACCTTCAAGCGACACACTTTACGAGCGACTTGTACTTGGGGGGAGCAGCAACGGAAAATTGTCGTAAACGTGAGTAACTAAGCAGCTCGGAATTGTGAGAGAAGTGCTACTGCATGCGTTGGAGGAGTAGGGGTGGATCCGTTGATAAAGCGTTTGAGCTGAGCTATCTCGAGCTGAGGCTCAATCGATTCTAATGGGTAGAATCGACAGGTCGTGACGCCCTTCTAATGGCCTAGGCACGGCGATCTTGTCTGGAGTGAATTTAAAGTAGCCGTAGTCAGGCGCTATCCCGACGTCTCTCGCCACATAGCTTTGCAGTATAATGTCGAGCATAACGTCGCTATTGCGCTCCTCTACATGTCCTCTTCCAACAGCGCTTCGCCGCCCTATCTGGTCGCGCTCGCGCGATGCTGCCGCTTGATGTGGACGCTCTTGAACGCCACCCACACTAGCATTGCTACCGCGTATGTGTCCTCTAAGAGCGCCACGAGCGAAACGCCTCTCGCTCGCCACTCTAGCTCTACCGCCATCGTTGCTAGACGTCGCTGACGCACCTTGCAAAATTCCAGCTTGCGCGTTCTCCGCTACATGAAGAGAAGGGTGGTCATGACGCCACCTTGCTTGAATCCCTTCCAGCATGAGCTCGTAATCCTCATCGTCAAGCTCGCCGCAAGAATGACGCGTGAGAAGAATCGCCTCTAGCTCGTGCAGTTCATTGACCTCAACGTTCGCCTCCTCCGCGTTCGCCATTACTGCGGCTTCTCTACAGATCAACTATCAGCCAATATAAATTGCTATTTACTTAAATCCCTCGTCGTGGGGTCACCTCACAAGGGTCCTTAGGCGAATGGTAAATAAATACCAAACGCCCTCTCCTTGGGTCCGAGAATGTAACTCGAGGGAAATTATATATATTGCAACTTACACCAAAGATAGTCCTATGCTATAGCTGCAACCTCCAAGATGAACGAACGAACTTAGTATATCTACGACAGTGAAAATAGGTAACGTGTGTGTTTGTTCCACGCTCACCGCACAATGCATGGATAACCCCAGTTTACTAACCAACTGGGATTAAAGGGCATGTTTGTATAGTGGGTCAGCGCACCCACACCCCCCTAGGATGACACTTGTAGCCCTTCAGGGGGACCCCTCTGTGCCATCTCAGCGCCCCCTTCCAACACCTGGCGACGGGTCGGCGACACGAGCGCGGACTAGGGCGTGGGCTAGGGCTAGAGTGCGGGCTAGGGCGTGGGCTAGGGCGCAGGGCGGCAACGGAGCCTACGAGGCTCTAGGAGTCAACGAGGGATACGGTGCGCTAAAGCTAGGGCTTCGTCGGGAGGTGAGCGGGGACTACCTAGGGTGGAAACGCGGAGGCTAGGTTCTAACCTAGCTCTGGCACCATGTCGAAATGAGAGAAACGAGTGACTGTAACATGAACAGAACAGGGGTCAAGTATTGGGTTTGTCCCCATATATATAAAGAACGCGTGTACACGAATAGTTATTACAATAAGGGAGCAAAATTCAACTGCAGCTGAACCCATTACATGCCATGGAAGCCATTCAACATCTTGAATCAACATTGAAATTGTGTGTAAAGATGTGCAGAGTTGAACAGGAAAAGGAATATAAGGAAAACAAGATTGCAACAAAAACATATAGTAATCACAACGTAGGCAGATTGTAAAACAGGTTGATTGGAAAGACAAAGAACCGAGTATGCAAACGGGGAGGTAGGTTTCAGTGGAGTAGAGAGGGGCATGAGGAGAGGGAATAGATTGCTTATTGTGCAACAAAAGTTGAATTTGACCACAAACTTTTCCTATACTGAAATAAACTGGTAGGGGGGGGCAAAGAGGGGAGGAGAGGAGAAGATTGTGAGGGAAAGGGGTGGAGTTCACACCATATATTCAATATGAAAGCGACCATTCACTTTTCTTTGGGCAAAATTGAAAGAAAAAGAGAGACGAAGGAAAACAGAAGGGGAGGGAAAAGAAATTAGTGTGATTAGTGAGCTACAGTAGAGTGCAAAAATATGCTGTTGCAACTTCAAGCTTGATGGAAATCGTGCAAATCTGGAGAGAACTAATTAGAGATTAAGTCTGACGACCTCAACGGACCATTGCGTGCTGCTCATGTAACTTCTAGAAATGAGCTTATACGCGTTGGAAAGGTCTTAATCTCTAATTTCCAGAATGGTAAAGCACGTTCATAACCAAGATCTGAGACGCCGATTATGACGAAATCAGTGTGAGGGGATATTCTGGTAATTTGGCTAGGCAGCCATGAATCACCAAGTAAAAACGAGAAGGGAAGCAGTTCGATCTGGAAACGTTCCAGTATGCGATTGTCAAACACCACCAACCCTTGCCCTAGACCAAACGCCAAAACTCTCAAGTGCCACAACTTCAACATCAAAGATGTTGTAGTGGGTTTGAGGTTGTATGGGTTGGAAAGGTAACGAGTTTAAACCTTGCCAACCCACCCAAGTCCTTTTGCCCAAAACCCAATAGCCTACAACCAGCTAGAGCAAACTACACCACAGAATACTACACATTTATCACTCCCCCTTTCTCGTGCTGGGTGTGGCTCAACACCATAGGGCAAAAGATTTCACACCACTTCCCCTTGCCCATGGGTTGGGGCCACCCAGAGCATGGATTCCGCCAAGGAGAGGAGCACCAAGACGCCGGCATCTGCTGCGGGAACCCTGTCATCATGGGGCTGCATCCCGAGCAAGGTCATGCACACACCATGGCGCTCAAATGGAAGAGACTTGGTAAGGATATCAGCAGCCTGACGGTTGGTGGGGCACCACTGCAAAAGCACCTCTCCCGCAGCCACCATCTCCCGAATGAAATGCCATCGAAGCTGCATGTGTTTGGTGCGGCCATGCAAGCATGCATTCTGTGCAAGGGCAATGGCAGACTGATTGTCCACAAACACAGGCACACCCCCAGCATGAGCATGGCCAAACTCCCCAAACAAACGCCTCAGCCACACACCCTCATGAATGCACTGATACGGACTTATGTACTCACTCTCAGTGGTAGAGAGTGCCACCACTGGCTGCCTCTTGCTCTGCCAAGAGATAGCTGCCCCATTTAGGTAGAACACATACCCACTGTGGCTCTTGCGACTTGCGGAATCTCCAACATAGTCGGCATCACTGAAGCCAACCAGCTGGACCTGATATTGGGGCTGTGTTTGGAAGAAGATACCTGACTTGACACCACCTTTCAGGTACCTCAACACTCTCTTAGCAGCCTGCAAGTGGAACATTTTAGGACAAGAGGCGACCTTAGATAGCTGTGAGACCGCGAATGCAATCTGTGGCTATGTGGTAGTACAAGCATACATGAGGGATCCCACAATGCTTTGGTAGAGCTTGACCAGCTCATCTCGCAGCAAAGGTTCATCCTCATAGGCATGCACATCAAAGCCTGTCGGGAGAGGAGTACGCACGGGGTTGGCCTCTGAAAGACCAAAGGACAGAAGCATGTTAAGAATGTACCTCTCTTGATGAATCAAGATAGCACTCTCATCACGCTCAATTTGCATTCCCAAGTAGTACTTCACCTCCCCCAAGTCCTTCATGCGAAAACGCGAGGACAAGAAGTCTTTCACTCGATCTAACAAAACCTTACTAGAGCATAGGAGCAAAAGGTCATCCACATATAGGAATAAGGAGATCCTCTCCTCTTCTCTCACAAAGTGGTACAAGGCAGGGTCACACTCAGATCTCTCAAACCCAAAATCCATGAGAGCCTCATCAAATTTCAGGTACCACTGTCGTGGGGCTTGCTTCAGCCCATAAATGGACCTTTTGAGGCGACACACTCGGTTAGACCCATCATCAAAACCAGGGGGCTGCCGCATGTAAAGCTCTTCTTCCAAATCCCCATGGAGGAAGACTGTCTTGACGTCCATATGATGGATATCAAGCTTCAAAGCAGCCGAAATTCCAAGCATACCTCTCAAGGTCGCATGCTTCCCAACTGGAGAGTACACTTCTTCATAGTGTACTCCCAATTTCTGCATGTTTCCCATCACCACCAATCTGGACTTAGGCCTCTCAACGGTACCATCAAGGTTATGTTTGTATTTCCAAACCCATTGACACCTGAGGACCTCCAAACCAGGTGGTACCACTGCTGGATCAACCAGCTCAAATGATCCATTTACCTTGTGAGACTCAAGCTCCTCATGCATGGACTCAACCCATTCGGGACGGTTCAGCGCCTCGTGGACTGACCTAGGCTCATGCACCTGACCCATTAGACACACATCAAGAGCATACTCATGCCCATGCATGTCCACAAGCATGCAATCATCCAAATCAGACACAAGATGATCATGCATGCGTGCAATGTGCCCCGGGGTAAACCTTTCAGGTGGCTGGGAAATTCGAGCACTGCGTCGTAGAGGTGTTGCCTCTCCTTCTTCCAGCCTCCGCAGCTTCTCCTCCCAAGTCACCCTCTTCATTGGAGTCCTCGGAGTCTTGGACAGCTGCTGGTTCAACAACTGCTGCCAACTGCTTCTCGATGGAGTTGAAGGCACATGCTGCTCCGGCTGATCATCATGCGCATCGGCCTGCGTGGCTGGCTGAGGGGTAGAATCTGTCTCTCGGGATTCCTCATGGTTAGAATCAGCTGGTTCTGGCTCCTCCTGCCACTCCTCCCCTTCATCTCCAGGGTCCTCCCATGCCCCCTCAAAGATAGAGGCCATATGAGGGTCTTGAATGGAAGTCCCACTATGGCTTGCACCACGCTCCTTCCACCCCTTATAATTCAGCCCCTCATGGAAAATCACATCATGGCTCTCCATCACACGCTGGTCAGCTACACTCCATAGCACCCAAGCCTTGCTCCTCTCAGAAACCCCAAGGAAGATCCCCCACTGTACCTTAGGATCTAGCTTCCTCCTTTGCTGGTCAGGTACCTTCTACTGTGCCATGCACCCCCACACTCGTGCCATGGAAACATTCGGCACCTTCCCTGTCCATAAGGAGTATGGGCTCTTGCCTCCAAGCCCCTTGCTGCCCATCCTGTTCTTCGCCCAGTTGGCATACTGCACTGCTGCCCCCCACCAAGTGTTATCAAGCTCGGCATGGGCAAGGATGGCCCGAGCCAAATCGGTCAAGGTCCTGTTAAGCTGCTCCGCTGCCCCATTTTGCTGCGGCGTGTAAGGTACAGAGAGCTGGTGGGAAATACCCTTTTCTTCCAAGAAGATTTGAAGTTCTTTCCCAAGGTACTCTCCACCCCGATCTGACCTTAACACCTTTACCTTGGCCCATGATTCCCTCTCCACATAGCGTATCCACCGCTTAAACACCTTTGCCACCTCATCCAAGATGACCCAGCTAAGTCGACTGAAGTCATCAAGAAAGGTGACAAAGTACCTGCTGCCCCTTTCCCGGTCAGGAGTTTGCATCGGTCCACACACATCCGTGTGCACAAGCTCAAGGGGAGTCGAGGCATGATCAGAGGAGATAGGGAATGAGGTTCTAGGCAGCTTTCCAGATGTGCAGTCAGGACATTTTCTCTGCTGCCCAGCTCCTTCCTTGACCTCCACCCCCTTCAGCTCCCCCTTCTTCACACACTCCAGTAGTTGCTGCTTCCCCGCGTGCCCCATGCGAAGGTGTAGCAACTCAGGTGACACCGTTTCCACCTGCCTCCAGCGAGTGCTACAAGCGGCTTCCTCAGAAAAAACCATATGTTCCTTGTAACAATTAGGCACACAAGCTAGAGCAAGGTATAAACCCTTGTCCAGCTTTGCCTCCATCACCACAGCTTCACCCTTTCTAACAGTGCACCCTCCCTCAGTGAAAGTGCAGATGTATCCCTGTTTAGCCAGCTGCGAGCATGAAAGGAGGTTTGCAGCCAAACCAGGGACGTGAAGGACCCCCTTCACACCCACTAGCTCCCCCTCCTTCCCCTTAATGGTGATCGTGCCGATGCCAATTGCGTGCAGCAATTCTCCGCTCCCAACAATCACTCTCCTAGAGTTTGGTGGGAGAGGATGGTAGGAGGTGAAGAGATCACGGCGAGGAAGCATCCCAGATGTTGCTCCAGAGTCTAGAACCAGGAAGTTGGGATCAGCCAATGCACGACCAGCGAGAGATGCATCCTGCCCTAGCATGAGAAACGAGAAACCATCATCGGAGGAGTCGTCTTGGCCCTTCCCCTTCTCATCCTTAGCAGCTGCGGCCATTGCTCCCTTGCTGCCCTTCTTATTCCAGAGCCCCTTCTTCATCCTTTTCTCCACCCAATCAGGTTTGGTCACTGGTGGGGCCTCTCCAGAGTAGCCGTGAGGCTTCCATCCCTCAGGCCTACTCCAGCAACTCTTCCAAGAGTGTTTTTTGTTGCATCCGGGCACAAGGCATTTGTCCAACTCTTTCTTCTTCCCCCCACCTCCTTGCTGTTGATAGCCTTTCCTGCAGGAAGCTTTATCTGCTGCACCCATGCCTCCTTCTAGGCCTCTTCCAGCATCAACCTTGCGAGCCTCATCAGAAATTAGAACCTCCCAAATCCACACCTTGGTCCATTTCTGTTGCTCGAGGTGAAGGTACTGTAGTAATGCCTCATTAGCCGCTTGATCCAACCCTTGGAGTGCAGTATAGATGATCTCCTCATCTACCGTGTTATCCAGCTCCTCCAAAGCCCTCACATTCTCATCCATCCTTGCAGAGCAAGGCACATTCAAATGTGGAGCATGTATATGGGTGAGTATATCCCACAATCTAGAGAACAAGCTTCCTAGCAAGCTTCGTTTCTAGAAGCAGCGCTCACTAGCCTAGCTCCGCCATGCTGCGCACTTCGTCTCCCATGTGGGAGTACGTCAAGCGCACCTTCGATGATGATGGCAAGCTGCTAAAGACACAGTGTGTTTATTGCCAACAATCCATGACGCTGTGCATGACGCGGATTAAGGAACATCTCTTTCGTACCCCCGCTACGAAGTCAAAGAACGTCGCCACTTGTACCTCCGAATTCGTGCAAACATTGTGCGTAAAGGATACCGCCGCAGGATCTTCCCATGGCGCACTCTCCACGTCGATCAGCGATGGGACAACAGTGAAGCCGAATGGCCATCTCGATATTCGCGCAATGACGGATCAAGCCGCCCAGGAGCGCCTTGACTACTAATGGGTGACCGCAGTGGCCGAGAATGATGAGGCCTTCCGTTGTTCGCAGTAATTAACCCTCCCCGTAATGATGTCGATGCTCCTTGCTGAAGAGGTCAATGCAATTTTACCTCGCCTTCTTCGTTGCATGCTCATCAACCTAAGTCCCTTTCCCATCCCACCCACCAAGTCCAAGGTGCTGCAAGCGCTCGTGAGCACAGCTGTAGCATTCAAGAAGCCGTACAATCTCCCATCGGCATACAAGGTGTCAGGACCCTTGCTCCAGAAGCTGAAGGCCAACACCAAGGACTTGGTGTCGCCACGCAAGGAGACATGGAAGACTGTCGACTGTAGCCTCGCTGTATATAGGTGGTCCTGTCTGAAGAGTCGCGCTATCGTTTGCGTCATCATTCAAAACGAGAGCGGGCCCGTGCTCGTCGCCGTTGTGGATTGTAAGACCACCAAGAAGACGTGTGCCTATTTGGCGGGCTTGATCGGCAAAGCGATGTGTGATGTTGGCGATACATGCGTTGTCCAGGTCGTGATGGACAACGCAAGTAACAAAAAAAAGGTCATCACGTTGCTAAAGGATGACTTCCCTGCCGTCTTCTTCACCAACTGCGCAGACCACTGCTTGGACCTGATGCTTGTCGACATTGGGGAAATCCCCGACGTGCTGAAGGTGCTAGTAGAGGCACACCAAGTGGTGATGATGTTGAAGAATAGCGCGAGCGCCGTCACTCTCTTCCGAGAGATTTTCAGTGCCCTCGAGGTGGTGAAACCTGGTGCCACACTGTTCGGAACCCAGGTGATAATGATCACTCGGTTCCTTGCTGTGAAGGAGTCTCTGCTGCAGGTCATGAGTGAACAGTGGACGACGATTGCTGTCAGTGGGACCAAGGAGGAGCTGGAAATTCGGACGATGCTGCTGGAGGATAAGTTTTGGAAGTCCTTTAACATCGTACTGCAGCTCATGCTACCGGTGCACGAGGTTCTGGGGGCAGTGGACACGTGCTCGCTGCTGATGGCCAAGATCTATGGCCTCATGCTTGTGGCCACGATCAAGACCAACGAAGCGGCATCTACTGCCAGATAAGTCAACCGTCCTGCAGCCATGTCCCCTTACCACATCTTTCCCAACCTGTTCCCCGCTGTATTCCCTGCCTGTTCCCTCGCTCACACTCCTCCCTAACACCCCCACCACAGCTACCTTCTTCATCAAGAAGACAGAGCTCATGGAGTCCAAGGATAGGCCCGCCTTCTTGGCCAACGTGAAGCAGATCATTGCAAGGAGGTGGGATGTGCAGCTGCACAACCCCCTCCACGCATTGGGGAGGATCAAGGAAGGCTGCACCCTACCCGAGCCCCCCCCTCAAGAACCCGAGATGGAGAAGGAGGAGGAAGATGCAATGGGTTGCACCATTGATTGGAGCACATTCGGGGCAGCCAATGGGAGGAAGGAGAAACGGGCCGCCAAGAACAAGGCCGGGAAGAGGGCTGAGAAAAAGGGCGGGTCCAAGAAGGGCAAGGAGAAGAAAGCGGAAGAGTCGGAGGAAGAGGAGGAGGCGGGGAGCTCTAATGAGAGTGAGGGGGACAAAACCACCAAGAGCCGCAAAGGAAGTGCACCATGGGACGAGAGCGGAGAGGAGGAGGATACTGGGGAAGAAGAGGAGGGTGAGGAATATTAGTAGGGGTAGGTAGGGAACTCCGCACCAAGGAAGAGGAGGAGGATGATGAATAGTAGTAGGGGTAGATAGGGAGCTCGGCACCAAGGAAAAGAGGATGAGGAATAGCAGCAAGGGGGAGAGTAGGGAACTTGGCTCACCTCTTTGTATGGCGTACCTGTTGTTGTAGTCACTGTTGGAGACCACATGGACGGTGCCCAGTGGTTCCTAGGCCCATTTTTGTTTTTTATGCAACTGGAGTTTTCGAGCAAAAGTACGCCGTTTTTTTTATCAACTAAATGGCCATCTAATACGATCGTATGATATGGCCCGTATAATATGCCTACTGCATTTTTGTACCTTGCTCTACGTACGCACTAATACCCACCTCATTGAGTCATGCACGTTCCAGCAATATAACACACTGTGTTGATGCAGGCATTGTGAAAACCACCAAAGAAAACCAAGATAGGGCACCGAAATAACTTCCCACCAATAAAACCATTACTCCCTGCATAAAACTATTTGTTGTTGCCTCCATGAGCACCAAAACCTGCTGCCAATCCTGCAAGAGCTCTCCGTGCAAGTGTCTACTCAATTGCAATCCAGCAATGGGCGATCGCAAATTCGTGTGGCCATGTATGCTGGCAACGAGGCCAATGGGGTGGCATACAGCTTTGTTTCGGGCGCCACCAAGAATCCAAGGCCTCCTGAAGAAGCCCTGGACGTCTCCAATCATGGCGGTCAGCATCTTGGAGGGAGGGAGGCTGGTACAGTTGGTACACAAACCCTGGCCGAAACGGAGGGGACAGAGGGGACGTACATTAGCACCAATGCTAACGGGGAAAGTGTCGCCACCCCAGTGGACCGATGAATACATCTCTATTCCTAACCATCATTACGGAGACCCAGCTAGAAAATGGGCACCCTCTTTCGGCTCTTGTCACTTGTTGGTAGCAGATTATGTCTCGGTGGAATGTGAAGCATGACGACATGGGTCTTACCTTGCAGCAACCGCACCATCCTCGGAAGGTGCTTAAAACCAAGGTCTAGGCATTTTCTATTGTTTTGCAAATGAAAGCCCCCCCACGATGTGATTGGATTGCGAGGGGCGAAATCCTAAAATTTGTCAACTCTTGTTAATCTCGTCAAACTCTTCGTCACATCTGGCAGCTTGTGGGCCACACAAAATTCGCGCGTGTGAATCCTACGGAAACACTAGACACTGGTTTTAAACGCTGGGTCTGGGGTTCACTGGAATCTTGAGCAGGACTTCTTTGACCCGGATACCGGTGTAAGTACCCCCTTGTTGTTCTTTGCTCTTTGTATTTTGCTCCTTGAAAGCTTTGCCCCCTACCCCCCTGCTTCTAACCTTTTGTTTTGCACCTAGCTTACAGTCCTCTTTGCCTCTTTGCCCCTCCAACCTCCCTCCCCCCCCCTAAGGTTCAGCTCTCCTTTGCTCTTCATTCAAACTCTTGCACTTTGTTTCCCTTTCTCTCTTTTCGCATGCTCTTTTGTCCTTTCCCAACTCTTCTCTTTGTACCCGCATCCGCGATAATTCCCCCCTGCTGCATGCGCATTGGTTCCCCAACTTATGAGATTATTTTCTACATTCCTCATTGTTTCTCCTCACGCTCTTCTGCCCTCCGGTCATTGGTTATTGTTCATCAGCCGAATGTTTCCCCTTGCTTGTTGGTTATCCGTTGCACCTAGAAATTGTTATGCACTTGGAGGTGCTGCCACTTTGGGCTAACTTGTGGAGGTGGCAGCACAACAAAGTGCCTTGGTTGGAACTAGCTTTACAGGTATGCTATGGCAGTGGAGCCAAATGGATGTATGCTTCCATTGGTAACGATGCCGACAGGGAGTTGGAAGATGATCGTGGGAGTGCTAGGGTTGCGGCTATGCAGTCTAACCCACAAGACACGGACATCCCCGTGCAAGACGGCGCTCCAACACCAGGTGTGTTTGTCAAGTGTGTAAGGGGACGCAAGCGCTGCCATACGTCGCAGCACGTCTCGTCGGGCACTCCGGCCATGAGTGGTCAGGTCAAACACGAAATGGGGCAATGGACGAAAGATGAAGCCCTTTGCGTTTTCTCTCTCTCTCTCTCTCTCTCTCTCTCTCTCTCTCTCTCTCTCTCTCTCTCTCTCTCTCTCTCTCTCTCTCTCTCTCTCTCTCTCTCTCTCTCTCATTGTTGTTTTTTTTTTTGCTATGTAGTCTTCCCCTACCATAGACAGCGCACCCTAGTATCATGCCCGCTTTTTTTTTGTCGTGCGTAATAGCCGTATGACGTACTCTTGTGCATAACAATGATGACTTGTTGCTATGCATGCGTTTCTTGGCATACATTTCCTCTTGTCTGGCACAAATGGGGATCACAAGATAGTGTCCATGGTTGTGCGACTGGTGACCAAGATGTCGGACAAAACTCCTAATGCCAAATGGACGGTCGTATGCTCCTTCTACAAGAGTTCAGTTGAAGCCTTCGGTTTCCTAGAGATCGACCCCGAAGTAAGGCAGCTATATATGTCCGAATGTCCTCCCAATGTATCGTGTCCCAAGCCCTGCTATTGGAGATTGTATCTAAGGAATGCCACGGGGTTTCTTGCGTGTATGCCAATTGGTTGGCTAGTTTCTCCTATGCAAACCATTGCCTGTACCAGCTCCTTTCATATGTGTTTCATTCAAACCAACGTAACCATTACTTGTGTAGAAGGGCCATGCATGACAATCTACGGTGTGAAACAATGGAGGCTTGCAAGAGGTGAAAGGCAGCATGGGAAATGGTAGAGTTGAAAGGGAGGCTTGTTTGTGTTGGATGAAGTGAGGCCACTCACGGCAGATTGGGTGAGCGGCTCCTCCAGCACACGTGCGAAAAGGAGGATCTAGGTGTACTGCCTGCAGCATGCCATAGTTGTGGCTTCGATGGAGAACCAGGACGTGGCGAACCAATTCACCGACTCTCACGAAGCATGTACCATGCGCTGCTGGGTTGGCAGGTAGCAGGTGTACTCCCAATGCTCGATGAGAGACTACAGCAGATGCATGTGATAGAGCGCTTTCAACATCGCGATAAGCCCCTGGTCCAGGGGCTGCAGAAAACGGGTGTTGTTAGGGCAGAGATATACAAGCCGTATGTTGGGCAGTTTGCGCACGCAGAAATCGAGGATATCCTCTTCCACCACATCGTCGCTCTTCAGCTGGTGGCAGGAGGCGTTGTTCAGTAGCAGGACGATGCGGCAGCCTTCGGAGAATCGGTGCATGGGTGCGGATCGGCAACTATTGCCTATCATAGCAGCTTGAATGGGAATTTGCAAGAACCAGGCCTCTCGCTAAGCCCCAGGGTATTCCGGAAGGGGACGGAATTGCCTCAGGATCACCCGTTAACAGACGGAATTCAAAAACAAAACCCGTTACCAAAAGGAATCGGCCGCTACAAATTCGGCTAGCAGGTGATCAAAGGCGGGGTTATGTAGGGGGGGGGGGGCGGGTGGTGGGGGGATTGGGCGGTCGCTACCCCCTACAGAATTCCCTACTACATGTATAGCCCGTACGGATTTGACGAAAATTTACTCGTCAGGCTAAGGAATCGCACGAAATCGTTTTCTTAAGTTGGACGGATTCAGAAAAAAATCCCACTGTAAAAAAACGGAATCACTTGAAACGTTACTCTTAATTTCTTGACATTGAGGGTAATTGCTCTGTTAGCAAGAAGCCTGGCAAGAACTGCGGGTTTAATTTTCTTGGCGGTACAGCGGCTGCATAGTCGCGAACTTTCGCAAGGGGTTGCGACTATACTGGCAGAGCTGTTCAAGTCCAACAGAAATTTACGAAGTTATGACCGGTGGAAGTTCATTTGCGCGACTTTGTTAGTTGTTCGGTTTGACATTTGACTGGTTAGAACCGTCAGTTTTTTGCAAGACCCAAGGCAATTTTTGGGTTGCGTAGCAACCCTAAAAAATCGTTTTCACATTTCGGAGCATTGATACGAACAGTAAAAAAATTATGAATTTAATTAACTGTTCGGTGCAACTCCAAAATATGAACCGAACAAGTGCTCCATCGCGTCGATAAGTACGGCGGATGGAACAATCAGACCGCACGACATATTTCAACAAAATTTTATGTATAATTAAACATCCTGTAGGATTGCAAATGCCAAGAAACGAGTGCATGTAGGCATTAGTAGTGTTGCAGTAGAGATTGAAGGGGTGCACGATGAGAGCGGAGCTGCCCCGGACACGATGATCTCTAATTGCAACACCTAGCCTATAAGCACCACGCTCAAGGCAAACTCAATCCAAATACACCTCGAGCCAGCCACCCCATCTCGTCGATAAATACGGTGGATGGAAAGAACATATATGTACGATAGGATTGTGAGTGCTACGAAACGATTGCATACATGCATCATTGCTGCAACAGAGATTGAAGGGGTGCGCGATGACAACAAAGTTGCCCCACACACGATGACAACCTCTAATTGCAACACCTTGCATATAAGCAGCACGTCCGAAGCAGACACAATCCACGCCTTATCACATTTGCAGCCACACGCACTATGCACATAGAGACTAAGAGCAGCAAACACACCCCGAAACAGAGAATTTATCAAAACCATGCACACCCCTCTCATGCAAACAACAATCAAGCAGACACATGCAGCATCGCAAATAGCCTAATAACTGGAGTCCCCTATATCCAAATTAGAGAACAGCGGTAACGTCGCGAGATCACAAATTTGTCCCCGCATTATGTTCCAACAAGCAATAGAAATTGGTGTTGGAAGATGTTCTTTGTCTTGCAGCTGGAACAGACAGCGCGTACTACACGACCTGCACAGTACACCAGTGAATCATAGAAACACAACATACGTTCAAAAGTGGACCACATAATTTCTTTACATGCACTCATGGTGTTAGATATTGCGTTTGGGGTTTAAGGTTAAGTGCGGAAGTACTACATGGGATGGAAGGGAGGAAGAGAATAACAGAAGGGGAGAGAGAAAAGGGGCAGTAAGGAGAAAATTATAGACTAAAATTGTGGGGACGCTGGCGATGACCTACGTGGTACCTAGGAATGAATGAAGGGATGGAAAGAGGAGCAGGAGGGGTTAAAAGGAGGGGGACACGCAAAAACAGAATGTGTGGCATGAGCAAAATGCCATAGCAGACAGCGCCAGAACGCACGTCACCAGCACAGACCGTGCCAGCGTGGACAGCGCCAGCTCGCACGGCATGGCATGCTATGCCCATACATCCATACAGCCAGGCACGTTATGCACATACACGCATACAACTAGGCATGATATGCCAAAACACACATACAGCCAGGCATGCTATGCCCATACATGCATACAGCCATGCATGCTATGCCCATACATGCATACAACACAACTAGGTATGCTATGCCCATACACACATACGGCCAGGCATGCTATGCCCATACATGCATACAGCTAGGCATGCCATCCCCATACACACATACAGCCAGGCATGTTATGCCCATATACACATACAGTCAGGCATGCCATCCCCATACACACACACAGCCACGCATGCTATGCCCATACACACATACAGCTTGGCATGCGATGCCCATACATGCGTACAGCCAGGAACGTTATGCACATACACGCATACAACTAGGCATGATTTGCCAAAACACACATACAGCCAGGCATGCTATGCCCATACATGCATACAGCCATGCATGCTATGCCCATACATGCATACAGCCATGCATGCTATGCCCATACATGCATACAACACAACTAGGTATGCTATGCCCATACACACATACGGCCAGGCATGCTATGCCCATACATGCATACAGCTAGGCATGCCATCCCCATACACACATACAGCCAGGCATACCATACCCATACACACACACAGACAGGCATGCTATGCCCATATACACATACAGTCAGGCATGCCATCCCCATACACACACAGAGCCAAGCATGCTATGCCCATACACACATACAGCCTGGCATGCTATGCCCATACATGCATACAGCCAGGCACGTTATGCACATACACGCATACAACTAGGCATGCTATGCCCATACACACATACAGCCAGGCATGCTATGCCCATACATGCATACAGCCATGCATGCTATGCCCATACATGCATAAAATACAACTAGGTATGCTAAGACCATACACACACACAGCCAGGCATGCTATGCCCATCCACACATACAGCTAGGCATGCCATCCCCATACACACATACAGCCAGGCATACCATGCCCATACACAAACAGCCAGGCATGCTATGCCCATTCACACATACAGTCTGGCATGCGATGCCCATACATGCGTACAGCCAGGCACGTTATGCACATACACGCATACAACTAGGCATGCTATGCCCATACACACATACACCCAGGCATTCTATGCCCATACATGCATACAGCCATGCATGCTATGCCCGTACATGCATAAAATACAACTAGGTATGCTATGCCAATACACACACACAGCCAGGCATGCTATGCCCATCCACACATACAGCTAGGCATGCCATCCCAATACACACATACAGCCAGGCATACCATGCCCATACACACACACAGCCAGGCATGCTATGCCCATACACACATACAGTCTGGCATGCGATGCCCATACATGCGTACAGCCAGGCACGTTATGCACATCCACGCATACAACTAGGCATGCTATGCCCATACACACATACAGCCAGGCATTCTATGCCCATACATGCATACTGCCATGCATGCTATGCCCATACATGCATAAAATACAACTAGGTATGCTATGCCAATACACACACACAGCCAGGCATGCTATGCCCATACACACATACAGCTAGGCATGCCATCCCCAAACACACATACAGCCAGGCATACCATGCCCATACACACACACAGCCAGGCATGCTATGCCCATACACACATACAGTCTGGCATGCGATGCCCATACATGCGTACAGCCAGGCACGTTATGCACATACACGCATACAACTAGGCATGCTATGCCCATACACACATACACCCAGGCATTCTATGCCCATACATGCATACAGCCATGCATGCTATGCCCGTACATGCATAAAATACAACTAGGTATGCTATGCCAATACACACACACAGCCAGGCATGCTATGCCCATACACACATACAGCTAGGCATGCCATCCCCATACACACATACAGCCAGGCATACCATGCCCATACACACACACAGCCAGGCATGCTATGCCCATACACACATACAGTCTGGCATGCAATGCCCATACATGCGTACAGCCAGGCACGTTATGCACATACACGCATACAACTAGGCATGCTATGCCCATACACACATACAGCCAGGCATTCTATGCCCCTACATGCATACTGCCATGCATGCTATGCCCATACATGCATAAAATATGACTAGGTATGCTATGCCAATACACACACACAGGCAGGCATGCTATGCCCATACCTACAAACAGCTAGGCATGCCATCCACAAACACACATACAGCCAGGCATACCATGCCCATACACACACACAGCCAGGCATGCTATGCCCATACACACATACAGTCTGGCATGCGATGCCCATACATACGTACAGCCAGGCACGTTATGCACATACACGCATACAACTAGGCATGCTATGCCCATACACACATACAGCCAGGCATTCTATGCCCATACATGCATACTGCCATGCAATGCTCCCATACATGCATACAATACAACTAGGTATGCTATGCCCATGCACACACACAGCCAAGCATGCTATGCCCATACACACATACAGCTAGGCATGCCATCCCCATACACACATACAGCCAGGCATACCATGTCCATACACACACACAGCCAGGCATGTTATGCCCATATACACATACAGTCAGGCATGCCAAACCCATACACACACACAGCCAGGCATGCTATGCCCATACACACATACAGCTTGGCATGCGATGCCCATACATGCGTACAGCCAGGCACGTTATGCACATACACGCATACAACTAGGCATGATATGGCCAAACACACATACAGCCAGGCATGCTATACCCATACATGCATACAGCTAGGCATGCCATCCCCAAACACACATACAGCCAGGCATACCATACCCATACACACACACAGACAGGCATGCTCTGCCCATATACACATACAGTCAGGCATGCCATCCCCATACACACACAGAGCCAAGCATGCTATGCCCATACACACATACAGCCTGGCATGCTCTGCCCATACTTGCATTCAGCCAGGCACGTTATGCACATACACGCATACAACTAGGCATGCTATGACCATACACACATACAGCCAGGCATGCTATGCCCATACATGCATACAGCCATGCATGCTATGCCCATACATGCATAAAATACAACTAGGTATGCTATGACCATACACACACACAGGCAGGCATGCTATGCCCATCCACACATACAGCTAGGCATGACATCCCCATACACACATACAGCCAGGCATACCATGCCCATACACAAACAGCCAGGCATGCTATGCCCATACACACATACAGTCTGGCATGCGATGCCCATACATGCGTACAGCCAGGCACGTTATGCACATACACGCATACAACTAGGCATGATATGCCAAAAAACACATACAGCCAGCATGCTCTGCCCATACATGCATACAGCCATGCATGCTATGCCCATACATGCATACAATACAACTAGGTATGCTATGCCCATACACACATACGGCCAGGCATGCTATGCCCATACATGCATACAGCTAGGCATGCCATCCCCATACACACATACAGCCTGGCATGCGATGCCCATACATGCGTACAGCCAGGCAAGTTATGCACATACACGCATACAACTAGGCATGCTATGCTAAAACACACATACAGCCAAGCATGCTATGCCCATACATGCATACAGCTATGCATGCTATGCCCATACATGCATACAACTAGGTATGCTATGCCCATACACACATCAAGCCAGGCATGCTATGTCCACACTCACATAGAGCCAGGCATACCATGCCCATACACACGCACAGACATGCATGCTATGCCCATATACACATACAGACAGGCATGCCATTCCCATACACACACAGAGCTAGGCATGCTATGCCCATACACACATACAGCCTGGCATGCTATGCCCATACATGCATACAGCCAGGCACGTCATAAACATACACGAATACAACTAGGCATGCTATGCCCATACATGCATACAGCCATGCATGCTATGCCCATACATGCATACAATACAACTAGGTATGGTATGCCCATACTCACACACAGCCAGGCAGGCTATGCCCATACACGCATACAGCTAGGCATGACATCCCCATACACACATACAGCCAGGCATACCATGCCCATATACACACACAGCCAGGCATGCTATGCCCATATACACATACAGTCAGGCATGCCATGCCCATACACACACACAGCCAGGCATGCTATGCCCATATACACATACAGTCAGGCATGCCATGCCCATACACACACACAGCCAGGCATGCTATGCCCATACACACATACAGCCTGGCATGTTATGCCCATACATGCATACAGCCAGGAACGTCATGCACATACACGCATACAACTAGGTATGCTATGCCCATACACACATACAACCAGGCATGCTATGCCCATACACACATACACCTTGGCATGCTATGCCCATATATGAGTACAGCCAGGCACGTTATGCACAGACACGCATACAACTAGGCATGCTATGCCCATACACACATACACCCAGGCATTCTATGCCCATACATGCATACAGCCATGCATGCTATGCCCATACATGCAGACAATACAACTAGGTATGCTATGCCCATACACACAAACAGCCAAGCATGCTATGCCCATACACACATACAGCTAGGCATGCCATCCCCAAACATACATACATCCAGGCATACCATGCCCATACACACACACAGCGTGCCATGCTATGCCCATATACACATACAGTCAGGCATGCCATGCCCATACACATTCACAGCCAGGCATGCTATGCCCATACATGCATACAGCCATGCCTGCTATGCCCATACATGCATACAACTAGGTATGCTATGCCCATACACACATACAGCCAAGCATGCTATGCCCATACACACATACAGCTAGGCATGCCATCCCCAAACACACATACAGGCAGGCATACCATGCCCATACACACACACAGCCAGGCATGCTATGCCCATATACACATACAGTCAGGCATGCCATGCCCATATACACATACAGTCAGGCATGCCATGCCCATACACACATGCAGCCAGGCATGCCATGCCCATACAAACACACCAGTCAATGTTGATAAGGTTGCGGCACATCACGTTGCCCACTACTGCTGGGTTGAATGCACTCACCTGAGGGGGTGAGCAGAGACAGGGTAGGGACAGGCAGGGTAAGGAAAGGAGGAGGGTGTGGGGCGGAGAAAAGTCAAGCTACAGAATGTCGCACCGATTCACACTGCTGGCTGCTGCGAGGTTGAAAGCATTGACCTGAGAGGGTGAGGTGAGACGCGGTAGGGGCAGGATCGGGGAAGGAGGGAGGCATTGGGCGGAGAGAGGAAATATGAGAGAGGAGAGAGGAGAGAGGAGAGAGGAGAGAGGAGATAGGATAGAGGAGATAGGAGAGAGGGGATAGGAGAGAGGAGATAGGAGAGAAGATAGGAGATAGGAGAGAGGAGATAGGAGAAAGGAGAGAGGAGATTGGAGAAAGGAGAGAGGAGAGGGGAGAGAGGAGAGAGGAGGGGAGAGAGAGTAGAGAGGAGGGAGCGCATGGCACCAGCGCGCACGGCGCCGGCGAGCACGGCGGCAGCCCCGGCGCGCATGGTGGCAGCACACACGGCGCCAGCGCGCACGGCGCCAGCGCGCGCGGCGTCAGCGCGGACGGCGCCAGCGCGCGCGTCACAAGGCGCACAGGGCCAGTGTGCAAGGCGCCAAAGCGCACTGTGCCTCTAGCACGCCAGCACGTCGCAGCGGCATAACGTGGCAGAGAGCGTGGTAGGGAGCTGTGGTAGGGAAGAACTGTGAGGAATAATCTAGAAGTGCTAGACGAGCCAGCGAGAAGGGAGCTGTGGTAGGGAAGAACTTCTTGGGGGAAGAATCTTGAAGGTGGCAGGGAAAATTGACTACAGTGAACGTTCTCTGCCTTCGATTGACGCTGTGCAAATAAACAGCCAAGGTCTAGAAAATTTCGACTACATTGTGTAATATTTCGACAGGTGTTGCAGAAGACTAAGTATAGAATCTGCAAACACGAACACTCGGAAAACCTCAAGTGTTAGCCTAGGATCTTTGCTGGAATGCTAGACTAGTAAAACAGCGGAAGTCTTGTAAGAGTGAACCTGAGTATATGTTTCTGCAGAAGTTAAGTCTCAAAGTTGAAATCTCAAAGTTAATAATAAAAAGGATACAACAAAGATTTCTAGCTCTAGGAAAGTACCTGTTCGCTAATGTACATGTTCGTCACTATCGCGCTAAGCGCCCTAGATGATAATGAAGAGGTGCGACTATTCGCGTGACTAAAACGACTGTCCTATGACGAGCGCTATTTGCTGACGTCATCCTACGGACTTATCTTCTACAGTAGGATTCGACTCTATCTATCGATAAACAACTAACAGAAATGCTAAGTATGAAATATACCACAACACTCCCCTTCATTTCTGGAACTCCGATAGAGTCACGTCTTGAAGATCCCACAAAGCTTGTTACAGTATTGAAACTTCTGTCGCGTCAGCTTCTTCGTGAGGAAATCGGCAGCCATTTCGTTGGTCCAACAGTAGACCAACCGCATCCTCCCCTTCTCGACGTCATCTTTGACGAAAAAGTAACGTAGAGAAATATGTTTCGTCCTGTTGACGAAACCAGGCTGGTGCGCGATGCGAATTGCACTTTGGTTGTCGCACTGTAGTGTAAATTGGGTAGTCGTCGTCAACTTCGCTTCTTCCAGTAGTTCCTGTAGGGAAAGTCCTTCACGTGTTGCTGTGCAAACAGCGATGAACTTAGCTTCAGCACAGGAGAGAGCAATCAACTCCTGCTTTGTCGAATTCCAAGAAATAGGTCAGATAGGTTCAAGCCAATACATGAATCCAGTGCGCGACCGTCGATTTGTCGAAGTCAGGAGCGTGATCGGCGTCGACGAAACCATGTAGGTATAGAGTTTTGCAATCGATGACGTTGTAGACTAAACCGACGTCAAGAGTCGAGACGAAATATTGAAGTGTGCGGAGAAGATCAAGTTGGTGCTCCTCTTCAGGACGGCTTAGGAACTGAGCGAGCTTGCTAGCCACATAGGCCAGATCGGGACGACAAGTGACAGCGGCGAAGAGTAGACAGCCTAACTGATGTTGATAGATCTGTAAACCGGTTGAATTTAACAGTGCAGTGTTCGGTTTGTGGTCAGTCAGTAGTGAGAGGTACGGTGTAGAGACTGTAGTAGGAGTGAGATTGAAGCGGGCAGCGAGCATTGCTGCGTATTTCGAAGCGGTGAGATGAATAGTCGTCGGTGAATAGGTAATGTTTAGACCAAGAAACTGTGAGACTGTTTCGGAGACGGTAAGCTGTAAAGTTTTCGGTAGTTTCAGTATGAAGATATCGGCAAGAGAATCGGTAGTACTGACATAGAGGATATCGTCAATGTAGGCGACGAGTAAAATATAGTTGCTGCCGTCAGTCAGAAGATACATTCCCTGGTCATGTGGTAGCTGACGAAATCCGGCAGTGATAAGCTGTGAGTGAAGGTACTGCTGCCAGAGCCGTGGTGCCTGTTTAATGCCGTATAGCGATTTTTGGAGTCGGCATATGCTCGGTGGGTTAGTAGTATAGGAATGTGGGTACTCTACCAGGATGAGTGCGTCAACGGGCGCGTAGAGAAACTCATTTGACTCGTCGATTTGTCGAAGTCGGAGATTACAGCAGGCGGCGACACAGAGTAAAATCCGCACGCTTGTATGTCGACCGACAGGAGCAAAAGTTAGTTCGTAGTCGATGCCGTAAGTCTGTTCGAACCCGCAAACGACCCATCGTGCCTTGAACTTCTCAAATGACCCATCTGCATTAGTTTTGACGCGGAAGACCCATTTTCCGGTAAGTACCTTCTTCCCTTTTACTTCTGAAGTCGATATTAAATCCCATGTGCCACGATTTTTAAGAGCTGCGAGCTCCTTGTCCATGGCTTCGCGCCATTTTTCTCGGTGACGACTCGTAAGAGCTTGTCAAACAGTTTTCGGTTCAGGTATCGTACTGTCGTTGTACTGTACTGCTACTGCAAATTCAAGTATTTGTAAACCGGTTTCTGTAAAACGCGGACGTTCCTCGTTTGCACCTGCGAAATTTTCTTCTAGTCCTTCTTCACCCCCAATTTCATCAGGTGTAACACGAACTGCTTCGTCGGAGACGGCGGGCATCGGTTGCTGTTGGCGATCGCGTTCGTAACTGAGATGAACTTCTCGAACGTCATCCAGGTCAGCATCGACAAGAGGAATAAACTCCGGTATGCCAGTCAAGGTGACATGTTCGGGAATGTCTGTTGCGGCAGCTTCGGAAGCTTCACAAGCATCCTCGTCCTATACATCAGCTTCGGCTTCGTCAGTTGCAAATGCACGCGAGCCTTCGAACAGCCTGGCGGGGTTGGCAACTGCTGCCTGGTGGGCACGAAAAACGGGCAAGGTGAGTCTTTCATACAAGAGACAATCACGTGATAGGACAATTTGGTTGGAGCGTAGATCCAAAATATTCCATGCGTGATACTGTTTTTCGATGCAGAGGTGTACCCCCCATTTTGCTCGTTCGGAAAATTTGCCGAGTGCTGCAGTTGGAGGACGAAACTGCACGACACACCCGAAAACTCGTAAAAGCTTGGTACTTCCCACTGTACGTGTCCACTGCAGGTGCGGAGAGGAAAACTCGGGCAGGGACGTTGAAGAAAGAAGATTGTGTAACAGCACGGCATGGTCCATAGCATATGGCCAAAAACGTGGTGGAAGGGCTGCCTGCGTTAGCAGAGCACGCATCTTCTCCCGCAGAGTTCTGTTCATCCTTTCTGCTACCCCCATCTGTTGGTGTGCATGTGGCAGTGACTGCTTCCGTTTGATGCCGAGTATCTGAAGGTGGTCTGTGAAAGTGTTGCTGGTGTATTCCCCGGCACCATCACTCTGGAATTCTTGCAGTTTCATGCCTGACTCTCGTTCAGCGACAGCGAGCCACGCGACGAAGACGAAGTGAGCGAGATAACAAGTAGGAAGGTTTGCTGTCCAGACGTAGCGTGTAGATGTTTCGATGAATATTATTACGTACTGCTCCTCTTTAGGTCATGCTTCAGGTAAGTTTAGTATGTCATGGTAGACTTTCTGCATCAGTTTATAACGTGTTGAACCAAGAAAATGACTTGGAAACGGATCGTGAGTAAGGTTGGCAACCGGACACGTGGTGCAAACCGTGGGACGGGACTGCAGCTTCATCTCTGTGCCGTCAGGTAAAAGAATACTATTTTTATCCAGAACTGCTGCTCGTATTGAATGATTAAGAATCCCTTGCGATGGATGTCCTAACCGCTGATGCCAGATATCTTCTGTGGCTTTGTGTCCTGATGATCGCAGGTAAAAATCGGCGTTAGTATAAAAAATAAGAAATAATAAAAGGAGAAAGTGCTCGTGACTTGTCAATCTCTCCTTCGACGAAACGTGTAAGTGGTAACGGAACAGTTGAAGGTGCTGCTGCAGTTGCGATTGCAACTTTTGATGCTGCTTCTGTTGATGTTGTGGCAGGTGTTTCGGCGACAACTATTGTTGAGCACGGCTGCTCGGCGACTTCTTCCAGTTCGGCTTCTTCAACGACGTGAGGTTCATCAGCTGCAATTCCACTTATTTCTCACCAAAGTGGTGCTGGAGTTCCTTGGAAGGCTGCACAGGTATTATAAAACGTTCGCCACGCGGTGGCGCTTTCATCTGCGGTATTGAACTTCTAGGTATCCAATGCGGTAAGGACGGCAGCTGCAGTTCGAGAAGCTGTTGGTACAGTAGTTGCTCGAAAGTCAATATCCACGTGCTGATAATCTGTTTCTTCTGGGTGATCCCAGGGACCAAGTGCAAGGATGCGTTCAGAATCTCCAGAAGTTCCTTGTGCTGCGAATTGAAGAACTGACACGCCATGCTGAGTAGCGGCACGACCAAGGTAAGTATTCGTTGGACTGTGCCATAACTCCTGGTCCATCGTTTCACAATTGCCCTGTGTGCGAATCTTGTGAGCCAGGAGTTGAGCCGTGGAGAGAAGATTGAATCCAAGGCCGGCGACGATAAGAACATTGGTAACATGGAGTGAGTATCCCGTGTCGATAGATTCGAGCATGACACTCCCAAGAGAGCGTGCCATAATAGTTTGTCCGTTTGCGACTGTGACAGGTATCGGACGACGAAGAGGACGCTGGTTGGTGATGAAGCTTGTTTCAGCGGAGAACATGTGCCAAACGCAGCAGCTGTCGAGATACCAAGTATTCGGACCTGAAATTATTCGAGCAAGGTTAGCGTAAACTTGAGGTAAGGGAATGCCTTCAGCACTGGTGGTTTCTTCAAGTCGTGTCTCAAAATCTGCTTCCGAAACATCAACTGTGGTAACACATCCAAAGACCCCTTTCCCTGCTGTTGCAGATGCAAAGACCGGAGGACGATGCTGTGATGGCGACGGATTCTGCGGCGTTTTCGGCATCTGCTGCGTTTGGGTCGTCGACTGCTGCGCGGGCTGATGTGGCTTCGCTAACTGCTGCGAGCGCTAATAAGGCTGTGAAGTGCTGCGACGATTTTGATGTCGACTGCGACAATTCTGGTAAGTGTGTCCTGGTTTCTTGCAGAAATAGCAGAAAGGATATTTCGGGGGATGACGATGGTGCAATTCTGGATTTGAGTAAAAACTCAAATGTATTCCCTTTTTCTGATTGCGTTGTGTTTGCAGGTCGAGATCTTGCTGTTCTGCTTGAAGATACGACGAAATTTCAGCTTTGGAGAGGTTCGGGTTCATGCGTAGAAAGGCGCGAGTCTGTCGCCATTCGGGTCCAAGGCCAGCAAGAAGGACCGTGAGATACATCTCACGAGGGAAGTATCCCCCACTTTTCTCCAGTTGATCTCGTAGTGTACGGACGCGGTTGACGTACTCCATGACGTTCTCATTTGTCATCATCTGCACACTTGTTAACTGCGAAAGAATCTTACTCACTGTTACTGTATCTTTTGCCATGTAAACCCCCTTCAAGTGGTTCCATGCAGTTTCAGCTGGTGTAAAACTTGAATGAAACGATCGGACGCCGAGCTGCTCCTTCAGCGACAGGTTCCGAACAAGAACTGTATACGCCCCGAGAGAGGCGTGCAAGAAACTCTGCTGCTCCAGTTGTGTTCCCGTAAGAGGATAGGTGAATTCGCCGGTGAAGAACGGCCAAAGCCCAGCGGACTGCGTCAGAAGCTCGAACTCGAAACTCCAAGAGTAAAAATCCACTCCGTTAAAAGGTGTGGTTGTTTTGATCTGTGTACTGCTAAGCAAATTTGGCGGTTGAAAAATAATACCCGGTTGTTGGGGCTGTTGCTGTTGCTGTTGCTGAAATTGCTCTTGTTGTGGTTGTTGCTGTGGCTGTTGATGCTGTTGCTGAGCAGGAGGACGACCAAAGATGTAAAAGGGATGATGCTGCTGCTGTTGTGACTGCGGCTGCTGCACAAAAGGTGAGAAAGCGAATGAACCAGTACTTGGAGCTGAGGCTCCACGCATGTAACTCGAGCCGTCAAGGCTCATTCCACTGAACGCTTATGATATTGACTGCGTTGAAAACAGTGGTTGCGCTGTTGCTTGTTGCTGTACTGATGACTATTGTTGAGCTGATGCTTGTGTTTGTTGGTGTTGTGCTGCAGGGGCAGTTGATGACATCCCTGGAGTGCTGACAGAAGACGGATTCTGCTGCTGCTGCTGCTGCAGACCGATATGCGCATAAGCTGGTGGAAACGGTCCAGAGGCTGAGAGACCAGTGGCGGCCGTGGAGACATGTACTCCAGTAGTTCCGGAAGTTGATCCGGCAGACGGTGCTGGTGATGAACCAGTCATTGTTGACATTAGTCTTAATTCCAGATAGCTCTCATACCATGTAATATTTCGACAGGTGTTGTAGAAGACTAATTATAGAATCTGCAAACACGAACACTCGGAAAACCTCAAGTGTTAGCCTAGGATCTTAACTGGAATGGTAGACTAGTAAAACAGCGGAAGTCTTGTAAGATTGAACCTGAGTATATGTTTCTGCAGAAGTTAAGTCTCAAAGTTCTCAAAGTTGAAATCTCAAGGTTAATAATAAAAAGGATACAACAAAGATTTATAGCTCTAGGAAAGTACCTGTTCGCTAATGTACATGTTCGTCACTATCGCGCTATGCGCCCTAGATGATAATGAAGAGGTGCGACTATTCGCGTGACTAAAACGGCTGTCCTATGACGAGCGCTATTTGCTAACGTCATCCTACGGACTTATCTTCTACAGTAGGATTCGACACTATCTATCGATAAACAACTTACAGAAATGCTAAGTATAAAATATACCACAACACAGTGAACGTTCTTTGCATGTGGTTCTGGCAAACAGCACAGTCAAACTGCAACTTGACAGTTAAGATCGAAACAAACTAATATGGGAGAAAAATATGCCCAAGTTTGCTTAGGAATTCAGCGAACGACCCTGAAACTGTACTCATGCAACTAATAATTCAAGGTTCCAAAAATTCAAGGTTCCAATAAATTTCGAAAAAAACATACAGTCACACTGCAACTTGAAAGTCAACGTCAAAACAAACGAATCATCTTGACTGTGTGCCATGCCATCATCCCACGTGAAACACTGCAACTAAAAAGTCAAGCTTGAATAAAAAGCCAAAACAATAAAAATCTTTTGCCTCTCGTCTCGGCAAAAATGCATACGTTCTAATAGCTACATAGAAGTACACGCCTATTAAAGCGAGAGGTCAAAATAATGTAGGCGGGTCCAACTTGAAAAGGCCCAGACGTATGTTTTTTCGACTAAGGGACAAAACTGCGATGGGGCAGAGGGTACACAGTCGAGAAATGCAAGCAGGGGAAACTGGGCGAGAAGATGCAGTTACCTGATTGGTTGGCGGGGAAAATATGTTGTACGGTGGGGAAAATGGCTCGGGCAAAATCGTAAGCAGCGCCCCACCTGTCGCCCAGCTCCCACTGCTGTAAGCTACACCAAGTGGGCCCAACTTCAATTTCAAGTTGGAACCGGGTTCACTATTCCAGCAAAACTGAGGCTGGGCCCGGATTGGTCGAAATGCTAACCACGCAAATCTATTGTCGTAAAATTCGTCGCCAATGCGAAATGTCGCAAGCGCAATTCGATTTCGTGGCCTACGGCTTGGTAAAAAACGGGGGCTGCTGCCTGCCCCTCCAAAAACATATTAATTGCTGGGTCGTTTCTAGTTGGGCCCAACAAGAAAGGGGGGTCACTATTATAGTCTCTCGCTTTAACGTCATCATTAGTTTACTACATATCATACAACTATGGCATCCATAATAACCATTTGCACTTGTTTTTCAACCAAACCTTTTTATCATGTTGAGATTTGTAGAAAACCCATGGCATTGTTCTCATCAATACAGTTCTCATCCCCTGATTGCTTCAAATCATGTTCACGCTCATATCCAATCTGAAAAACAATTGCTCATAGCTTACCTTACAAACGAACCATCTGACCTATTTATTTGCATGAGAGAATTGCTCTTTCATTTCAGGATTTTATCAAGCTGCTACGCAACCCCAACGACGCATTGGCGTCGAGCCTTGTTTTTCCGGCCTCGGATCTTCCCTCTAAACCCTCGGGTCTAACACTCGCTGAGGAGTTTACCCTGAGCCCTGATCTGAACATGAGCCACCGTGCTGTAACGCATCGCATCGCATCTCAGATCCGCCTCAAGTGCCACACCACATCTCGCCTGTGGCTCAATCATTTCTCTTCACCCCCTCCTGAGAGATCAGAGCCAGGTGCTTCTTCCCCCCTTCCATCCAACCCCCCCCCCTTCCCCCCGCAACACCACTCCACCATTGTTTTTCAAGCAGACCTGTCTGTCTCTCTCCCACCAAGTCGGTGTCTGCCCTGCCCAGTGCCCAAATACGTCCACCCCAGCAACCCCGTTTCCTGATCAGCCACGGACGCAGAACAGAAACAACAGCCTCCCCCATCTAGGTTTTCTACTACTGTACAGTACAGTACCAGCAGGAGCACCTGGCACGTGCGTGTTCGCAGTTCTATACAAATGATGTCTGCAAAGTGCCCTGCCCAAAACAAATCCCAATTGCACCCCCTCGCCCAATAGAAGAAGTTTACGGGCAGTATCCGTTTCGAGAGAGTCCCCCGCGCCGGCAACTGTGCTGGGTCATCATGACAGCGGGGATGAACATGCGGACAGCGACGAAGCAGTTGCAGCCTTCCGGTTTTCGCCACATATTTTCGGACGGCGTCGCGAGGGCGGTTCGTCCAGGCCCAAATGACCTTTCGCGTTTTTCGCGAAGCCGCGAAGGACACGAGCGCAATGGAAATCTACGGAACACCGCAAACGGGAAACACCTCGATGACTCAGCATGGCATGACCCCTTGGCAACTGACTGAACTAGAGCCCTATTCGGTCGAAACAACTCCACACTTATCGAAGCCGCACAAATTGTGAGCAAATGTCATGTTCGTGACCTATTGGTTGAGCTAATTAAACAGCACTTGGGGTTGTTTCTGATCGTCGCAGTGCTAAACAGCGTAACCGTGGTTACATACGCAATCTGAACTCTGCCACCCAACCTTCCCCTATTGCGACAAAATAAGTTACCAACGAGCTCACCCTGAATCCCTCGCTTCTAGCAGCGAAAGCCGGCGAAATACCAAATCGACAGAAGCCCCCACGGCTCGAAAAGGTGGCGTTCCTCTCTCGGGCTCAAGCTGTACAGTGCACACGCGAAATCTCTTCGCATCGCCCATATGGCCTTGCTCCCCTCTTCATCATTACCCCCCGTGGTTCCTCCACTCACCGCGTCACGTCACTTGATACCAGCTCGCTAGCTGCCGATATCATCCACACGCACTTTCCTTTCGCCTCACCACCAAAATAAAGATCCCATGCTTTCACCGAAGCAACGCAACACAACTTCGCGGAGAGGACACCACACCACCAAGGCAGGACAGTGAGCGGGGCATTGGGCTGCGCAGTGTCCGCTCCGCACCGCACCGCCTCGGTCCGTCCGTTGATTGTTTTGCTGTCGCGAAGCGGCGAAATGATTCAGTTCAGCGCTTCCGTACAGCTCAGCCTTCGTTCGTCAACACCGCAGGCCTTCGTCTCCCACCCGAATCCCAGCTTCTTGGCTCCGTGTCGGCTCAGCAGGCTTCGAATCTCTCATGTATTACAGTTTGCCTCACTGCCTTCTTTGCCATTGGTTACCATCGCTGGCACTATGATACCTTGGGCCCATTGGTTCGGCCCGGAAGGAGCAGTACCGCACTGTAGCAGCACCCTCTCGCAAATCCCCGCCGACAACAGTAAAGCATACGACAGGTTCTACGACCACAAACTTCGTCTCAGAGTCATTTGCGCCCGCGCACCTCCACCACACCTTTCCGCCTCGTTCGGGGATTAGCGCGGAGTGCGGAAAGCGCGGGGGAGGCGCGGGGAAAGCCCTACCGCTCCGTTTCGGCTGCCGCAACTGGGCAAGTGCCATTTCAGGGGAACTTTCGCTCAGGCAGAAGTGGAGCCCTTTCGTTCTCATTCGAAACTCCAAGAAGGGCGCAGAGCCTTCGAGTTAGGAGCCGTGTTAGAGAGGACTTCAAGCCCATCCTACCAAGACAGCTACGACTTGCGAGGCAATAACTCTAGTACCGTGAGCTAGTGCGTCAATCTGCCTAGCTAGTACGGTAGTAGACAGTATAGTTCCTGGATAAATCCCTCTGACTAAGAAACTCTGTCTAGCAGATCTTGTTGTGGCTCCGGCAGATGGCGTCGGGAACCCTACTAGTAGTCGGAGACAGCCCGAGGCGTTTCTTCCCGCCAATTAAAATCGACCGGGGGACCGCCGACAGCAGCGTTTCATCGCCAAAATCGCCTCTCGAGCGCCAGCTCAGCTCTCTCACGCCGTCTCCCTCGTTCGACGAACGCGAGTTGACCCTTAACCCGCCGAGCCCAGCCACCGAGGGAGCCGAGTCCACGTGGCACTTCCGTAACTCTGTTAGTTATAGCTTCCAGCCATCGGAAGGAGCAGAGGCGCCAACGCAAGCGGATAAGACCGCGCATCGCGCCCCGCCGACCCATTCCACCTCCCCGTCATTCGTGGTTGATTTCTTCTCCGCTGCGTCGCGAACGGTGCGTGATCTGCTGTCGGGGGAGGGGAACATCAGCGGCGCGGGGAATGGGGGGAGGCGCAATCGCGGAACGCTGCTGGTATTCGACGGCTTCACTACCGAACCTTCTGCGGAGAACGCGGAAAGAGGCGACGGTTGCGACGCGGAAAGATGCGGCGGCGAGAATGCGGTTACTATCGCGAATGCGGAAAGGCATCCGCGAGAAGCCCACGCACGAGCGACAGCCGACTGTCGCGAACTTACGTACGCTCGCGAAGTTACAGATTCTCGCTCAGCTGTTTTGTCAACGACGCCGGAAGCCGTCGCTGCGAAAACTGCTAGCAGCAGCAGCAGCGAAACGCCGGTTTCGACCGAACGCGCGTCGGCCAACCAGGGCTCGGCGAAATCAGGCTGGGAAATAGCGGCGGGGAAAGCCGCGACGGGTCCCCAGGGCGCTGCGCTCAGGCAGCGCAGCCTGCGATGGAGCGCGGCGACGACGGAGCAGCGGAGAGGAGAGGTTTGCGCGCTTGGCGGCGGGATGCATGGCGCGGAGTATGGAGACGGGAACAGGGACCTGAGCGGAGTTGACGAAAGTAGGGTTACAGATACGACGACGACGAGTGCTACAACGAACAGAAATTGCGACGAAACTGGAGCTGGTAACCAGAGCGTGGCCGGAGTTGATGGTTCTGATAGCGGCGTTGACAGATGTGCTAATGGCGGGAGGGACGGAAGCAGCACGTATAGCGTTGGGGCTGTAAGCACACGGCGACAGGATCGACCTCGATATAATCGCAATCACGCGCATTCCAATAGAAGCGCTCGACCCAGAAAGATTTCTCCTGTACCGCAGAGCTGCGTTGGCGGTTGGGATTCGTGCAACGACGACGGGAAACACAGTAACGGCGACTTCGCGAAAGACTTTCCGTGCACTCACACCTTAGTGAAACGACCCGTTTCAGCCACGTCAACTTCGGTTCTGTTGAAACCGTATGCCGACATCGCGTCCAGATTCGTTGTACACCATCGGGAGATTGGGAGCGGGCAATACGGAAGCATCCGAAAATGTTTGGAGATTGAAACCGGGCGGGTGTACGCGTGCAAGACGATCAAGAAAAATCAGATAAAGGGTTCGGAGGAAGCGGATGACATTAGGCGGGAAGTGGCGAGCATGTGGGTGGCACGTGACCATCCTCATATAGTCACACTTCTTGACACGTTTGAAGACAGAAAGGTAGGGCTCATCTCACTTTCCCCAGTTCCCTCCTCCCCAGTCCCCCCTCCCCCGCTCTCTCAGCTCCCCTCCCCTCTCCCCATGCTTTATGTTCCACCCCTTCCATCAAGTTATTGCATCCGTTCACTTCTTAAAAAAAATATCCACTATCCTCCCCTCACTCCCTCATACCAGCCCACCCTCCATAATACCCAAGCTGTCAGCATGTTCCCCCCTCTCATTAAGACAAGCCCACATGACTCTCCTCCTCCCCTCCTCCACATGAGCTATGCAGACGTGGGGACCTCTTCGATAGAATCACACAGTCCAGACCATATTCTGAACCCTCTGGACTTTTCCCTTCTAATTCTTCATCCTTCTCTTCCCCTCATTCGCCCTCCTTTCAGGCTGTTCACCTTGTCATGGAGCTATGCAGAGGTGGCGACCTCTTCGATAGAATTACAAAACTGGGGCCATACTCTGAACCCTCCGGAGCAAAGCTCTGCCAATCCCTCACCCACGTCGTGCTGCACTGCCATTTAAACGGAATTGTACACCGCGATATAAAACCCGAAAACATCCTCCTTAAAAACTCTTCAGACGACACGAATATACTACTTGCGGATTTCGGAGCAGCAGCTTTTGCGACTGAAGGGGAGGTGATTAAAGAGGTGGTGGGTACACCTGAGTACATGGCACCTGAGATGTGGGGAGCAGTCTTTGATGATTCAAATAAGCTGCTCTCTACACCTCGGGAACATGGAGTCGAGTATAATTCTGCAGTGGATGTGTGGAGCATGGGTGTGGTTATGTACGTGGCAATGAGTGGTGTACCGCCGTTTTGGGCTACAGTGGAGCGTACTGTAGCCAAAGCGGTGCTTACACGGCCAGTGGTTTTCCGACCAGCCAAGTGGGGAGGGGTGTCGGAGGAGTGCAAGGAGCTTATAGAGAGGATGCTGGAGAAGGACTGGAGGAAGCGCATCACCCCTGTGGAGATACTTGGTACGTGATGTAGAACGTTGCACTTGGACAATGCTCTTTCTTCTTGCACTGCCGCACTACATGTGCTTGTGAATTTGCGCCATAATGCTCCTCCTTTTATTACCATGCTTTGGTGTTTCTTGTCCCAACCAACCCAACTGCCTGACCGTTACCACCGCACACATCTGGTTACTTTGTTTTGGCAGAACATCCATGGATTGTGCAACATGTTGGCAAGCATAAGTGAGCCCGTTGGTCAGCAGCAGCACTGACATCGCTTCCCCGAGCAGAGCTGGTCGTGACTCATAAGGATTACATTTCTTCAGTATTGTTGTACCTGGTACCGTAATCCCCCGGATATAAGCGCTGCCGTTTATTTAGCGCCATGGCCCTTATAGAGTGTAAGAGCGCTTATATAAAAAATCCGATTACAATCGCCCCCCTTTTTGTAGAAGGTATTTCCTAATAGCGCCCCCTATATTACGCAGAAAACTCACTGAAACGCATGCGTTTGTATTGAAGTCCTCTGCAGTATTCATTTACGTGCTGAAAATGGACCTGCAGAAGACTTGTGAGCAAACTGGACTCGGCCTAGACCTTTCCTCTAACAGCCAACCAAGGCCCTTGCAAGCCTGTAGCGCAATTTGCGCTGGTTGGCATTGGTTTTGATTGGCTTGAATTGAACGATTCTAGCGTGGATTCACGTCTGACGCTTAGTATGTCATTTCCACGCAAATTCGTCAGCACATACCCCTTTCAAACATCCCCATCACACAGCACATTTGAAGTGCTACATTTCGAGACCCTCAAACATTTTCCCGTAAAATGTTTTTTATTAGCGCTGTGCTTATACTTTTTATTCGATTATAAGCGCCCCACCATTTCAAATTGTATTTCCTATAAGCTCCCATGTGCTTATATCCAGTGGATTATGGTAGTTCTCAGCCAATAGCCCCCAAAGTAAAAACAGCGACCAAGCAGTGCATACGCCACTGGTGATGGTGACGTTTGTGGATGACATTTTCTTGGTTCAAACTTGTGAAACTAAACGTTCAAACTAACGCTTGCTCTTCGTTTTCACTGTATTCAAGCCTTCTGCGGTTGTACATGCGTTCTTTTCCCCGGCACCAAATTACAGAGTACATCTCATAACGCGAACCAGAGCAACACCCTCCATCCCAACTGCTAGCAGCTTCACACCAGAGCTATTGTCAGCCCTACCCCACTCGATTATCTGAGTCATCTAGTCACCTTAGTCCGTACTATCCCTGGCACGATCGCAGCTTGTCGCTTTATTTTCCCGGCGATCCGCTTAGCTCAACATAATCGAAGTGCAGGTTTCGCACGAATAAACTTAACCGGGCAGAGGAACGGACGGGCACGAGTCTTCTGGAAGCACTTGACGGAGCGCAGCTCAACTTCACAATTCTTGAAACCCTAAACGAACGCAGCGTACAACGAGTAATTCCGAACCTTCGCGGCAGCTATGAACGCGCTAGCGACGATCTACGAAGGCGATGAGGGGGATGAGGCCCAGGTGCCGGAGCGAGAGGCTAAAGGAGGAGAAGGACGCGAGGAACGAGAGGGACTAGGAGGAGTTTATGGGAGGTCGCTGAGTCAAGAGCAGGGGAGGGATGGCGGTGGGGAAGCGCGGGAGGTAGGGAAGAGGCGTTACTATCGCGCCGCGGAAAACGGCGAGAATCGCGGCGGCAGAGACGGGGACGGGAAGGCGGAAGAGGAAGAGAAGGAGGAGGAGGAGGACTATGAGGAGTATATCCCCGTTAAGAAGCGACGCCTTATGGAGCAGCAACGGCTGCTAGCCGCGCGAGCAGCCGCGCGCGGTATAGCCGTCGGCGCAGGGGGAGGTGGAACTGGGGGAGGCGGAGACGGGGACGGCGCGGAGGGGGAGGATGGTGCCGGAGCTGGGCCGGAGGCTCGGCCGAGCCTGCTGGTGAAGGCGACGATGCTGAAGAAGGACCAGCCGGAGCTGAGCCACACGGAACAGGTGCTCCAGGAGGAGCAGGAGATGTTCGAACGGCTGAGCGACCGCAAGAACCTCATGAGCGTCAAGGAGCTCGCCAAAGGCATCCAGGTGGGTTAAGTGCGGTTACAAGGGGTATAGAGAGCAATCAGTAACAGGTGCTTTGGGAGGAGCAGTAGATGTTTGAGCGGCTGAGCGACCAGAAGAACCTCATGAGTGTGAAGAAGCTCGCCAAGGGCATCCAGATGGGTTAAGTGCGGTTATAACTTATCAGGGGTATAGAGAGCAATCAGTAGCAGGTGCTCCAGGAGGAGCAGGAGATGTTTGAGCGGCTGAGCGACCAGAAGAACCTCATGAGTGTGAAGAAGCTCGCCAAGGGCATCCACGTGGGTTGAGGATGCTCGTTATAGGCTCCGAACGCGTTTAGAAGGCTCGTTATAGGCCTGCAGATGCGTTAAGAACGTTGGCGCAGGTGGGTTAAGGAGCTCGCCAAGGGCGTGGAAGCCGCCGAGCCACTTTCGAGCTACGAGCGAGGAGAAGGAAGTGCGTCCTCACAATTCCAAAGAGCACTTCCCAAACAACACCGTACTTTTTCTCTCGCTGCCGACTTACCCCTCTCCAACCACGCCACAGCACACCGAGCCTCCGTGGACGGGTTGACGGGTTGGAAGCCACCGAGCCACATCCGAGCCAAGAGCGAGGAGAAATCGCATTGGACTTCTCACTTCATAACGTTCTTCTCCCCCCCTCTCCTCCCTCTTCCCCCCTCTCCCACCCCTTTCCCCCTCTCCCCCCCCCTTCCCCCCTCTCCCCTCCCCTTCCCCCTCCCCCAAACACACACACCGCCACCACGACCCTTGCCACAGTACACCGAGCCTCTGTGGACGGGTTGGAAGCCGCCGAGCCACATCCGGGCCATGAGGGAGGAGGAGCGGGCGGAGATCCGCAAGGCGTGGCACATCCTGGTGGACGGCGATGACGTGCCGCCGCCCATCAAGAGCTTCAGGGACATGCGCCTGCCGGAGCCATGTCTCCGTATTCTGAAAAAAAAGGGAATTTTGCGACCCACCCCCATCCAGGTACCGTGGGCTTCCTAGGTAGTGTTCTATTCTTTGTGCTCCAGGTTTTTTCTCCCACATTTTGAGGCGCGTCAGGCGCCTCAGGGCTAGGAGCAGGGGTCTTGAACAGCCATGAGCGAGGAGGAGCACGCGGAGATCCACAAGGCGTGGCACATCCTGGTGGACGGGGAGGACATGCCGCCGCCCATCAAGAGCTTCAGAGACATGCGCCTGCCGGAGGAGCCGTGCCTTCGCATCCTCAAGAAGAAAGGCATTCTGAGGCCCACTCCTATCCAGGTGCAGTACAGTGTGTTTCTAGGACACAACTAACAAGAAAGGGTGCCGCCGCCCATCAAGAGCTTCCGAGACATGCGCCTGCCGGAGCTGTGCCTCAGGGTTTTTTACGTCCTACACATTTTCAGTTACGCGTGCTCCTAAGATAGTACTACTGCTACTACCTCCCTAAAATCTGGTTTTTTTGCGGTCTTGAAGTGCTTCAGAACAAGAGCACGTCACTCGAGCTTCATGAGCTTTAAGTGCTTCAAGAGCGCAAAGATCTCTAAGAGCAACAAGGTCTTTAAGAGCTTCAAGAGCTTTTAGTGCTTCAAGAGCTTTAAGTGCTTTAAGTGCAGTGCTGGGAGGGAGAAAGATCATGTTACTAGGTACTCCATCACCATATCCCGCTGGACTGATCCTCACCGCTCTGTACTGTTCAAAGCCACCTGCTACCTGCAGGTTCAGTGCAGGGCGCTAGCTGTGCTGGAGGGGAGGAAAGTCATGTTGCTATTGTAGTAGTAGTACCTCATCGATGCCAGTTATAATCACTCTGTACCCTTGTGTACCCCTCTAATCCCCTGCCTGCACTGCAGGTGCAGGGCATGCCAGCGGTGCTGGAGGGGAGGGACATCATCGGCATTGCCTTCACCGGGTCGGGAAAGACCCTCGTCTTTGCGCTGCCCATGGTGCTCAATGTGAGTCTTGTTGCGCTGCCCATGGTGCTCAATGTGAGTCTTTTTGCTGCCCATGGTGCTCGATGTGACCGTTTTTCTGCCCATCGGCCTCAATGCGAGCCTTTTTCTTTGTCTGGGGCTCAATTTGAGCCCTTTTCGCTGCCCATGGTATCAGGAGATGGCCCCAGCAGATCTTGACGCTCGTCAAGACCTGTGTGCTCGTCCAGGGAGCTCGGCCAGCAGATCTTGACGCTTTGAGGTGCCATTTTATCTCGGCGTCTTCCCCCCTTCTCCCCTTTGCTGCCAATGGTATGAGGACATGATCCATGGAGCTCATTGCGTGTCTAGGGAGCCCATTTGAGTCCAGGGAGCTCGGCCAGCAGATCTTGACGCTTTGAGGCGCTTTCTTACCTCAGCGTCTTCCTCCCTTCTCCCTTTTCCTGCCCATGGTATCAGGACTGGACATGACCCCATGGAGCTCACTGTGTGTCTAGGGATCCAATCTGAGTGCAGGGAGCTCGGCCAGCCGATCTTGATGCTTTGAGGCGCCGTTTCATCTCAGCGTCTTCCTCCCTTCTCCCCTTTGCTAGGCCATACAAGAGGAGGTGCGCATGCTCCTGGTAGCGGGTGAAGGCCCCACAGCGCTCATTGTGTGCCCCTCTAGAGAGCTCACCTGGCAGCTGCTCATGCATCACGGCCTGATTTCCTCCCTTCTTGCTGCTCCCTCCCCGCACCACCAGGCCTTACAAGAGGAGGTGCACATGCCCCTGGTAGCGGGTGGATGAAGGCCCCACCCCACAGGACTCATCGTGTGCCTCTCTTGGGAGCTCGCCTGGCAGCCGCTCATGCATCAAGGCCTGGTAGTAAGTTCCCTTCCTTCTTGCTGCTCCCCCCCCCCCATCACCAGGCCTTACAGGAGGAGGTGCGCTGGTAGCGGGGGAAGGCCCCACAGGACTCATTGTGTGCCCATCCAGGGAGCTCGCTTGGCACCCGCTCATGCATCAAGACCTAATCGTAATCTCCCTCTTTTCTACTCCCTTCCCCCGCCACCAGGCATTACAAGAGGAGGTGCGCATGCCGCTGGTGGCGGGTGAGGGCCCCACAGGGCTCATCGTGTGCCCCTCTAGAGAGCTCGCCCGACAGACATACGATGTGGTGAATGAGTTTGCGGACGCTCTCAGGAACGACCGCAGGGAGCGGTGAGTGGGGAGGGGGGAGGGGGGAGGCCGTGGGTGTGAGAATGAAACATTGAAGCGAAGGAGCTCGCTCCGGCAGACATACGATGTGGTGAATGAGTTTGCGGACGCTCTCAGGAACGACTGCAGGGAGCGGTGAGTGGGGAGGGGTGAAGCCGTGGCCTGTGGGTGTTAGAACTGCTAGAATCACATCCTCCAGAATCACCCCATCCGCTGAACCATCCGCCTCCCCTGTTGTCGGCACATTCGTCTGCCACTCTGGCATAAGAAATATCACAGCATTCGACTGCACCCTCGCAACAGCCGGATGCGATATCAAGTGCAAGAAAGGCCGCAGCATCGAAGGAAAGGCTCCTACTGTGGCGGCGGTGGTGACCGCCCTTTCTTACGATCCGACCTTTAATGGGCGGCCCTTTGCCCTCGTGATATACCAACAGTGCAGGGGGTACTCGGGAGGAGGAATCGTATTGGGGAGCTCCTCTTTCTGGCGCGAAGGATGGCTTTTCCACTGTCACCTCGACTCTGACCTCCCCTGCTGCGAAGGGCGGCTTTGTCCATAGCTTCGCAGCTTGCTGTGCATAGGCGGAGTTGGCGTGTGGCAGCAGCTGGAAGGGAAGTCAAGCCTTTCCCACTCTCCTTACCCTTGCATCTCATTACCCCCTTCCAGGTACCCTGAGCTTCGCAGCTTGCTGTGCATAGGCGGCGTTGACATGCGGCAGCAGCTGGAGGTGGTCAAGCGGGGGGTGCACATGGTGGTTGCCACGCCCGGCCGGCTAAAAGACTTGCTTAACAAAAAGCGCATGAACCTTGACATCTGCAAATACCTCTGCCTAGACGAAGCCGACAGGCTCATAGATCTCGGGTTCGAGGACGATATTAGAGAGGTTTTCGACCACTTTAAAGCCCAGCGCCAAACCCTGCTATTTTCCGCCACTATGCCGCGGAAAATCCAGGCGTTTGCGAAGAGCGCTCTGGTGAAACCGGTTATGGTGAACGTGGGGCGCGCAGGTGCAGCGAACCTGGACGTGATCCAGGAGGTGGAGTATGTGAAACAGGAAGCCAAGATCGTCTACCTGCTCGAATGCCTCCAAAAAACGCCGCCCCCGGTGCTGATTTTCTGCGAGAACAAAGCTGACGTGGACGATATTCACGAGTATTTGCTGTTGAAAGGAGTGGAAGCGGTGGCGGTGCATGGAGGGAAGGATCAGGAGGAGAGGGAGGCGGCGATTGCGGCGTTTAAAGCAGGGAGGAAAGACGTGCTTGTGGCCACGGATGTGGCTTCCAAGGGGCTGGATTTCCCGGACATCCAGCATGTGGTGAACTACGACATGCCGGCTGAGATTGAGAACTATGTGCACCGCATCGGGCGCACGGGGCGGTGCGGGAAGACTGGGATTGCGACGACTTTCATCAACAAGAACCAGGTGAGAGAGAGGGATTGAGCATTGGGCAATTGATTCCAGGAGCCGGGGGAACGGGTTGCGGGTGGGTTGGACATTTAGCATGTGATCTGAGGGGAGGTGGGGGGAGATAGGGAGGGGGGAAGGGAGAGTGACGGGCATTCAGCACGTGATGGATTACGACATGCCGGCCGAGGTTGAGAACTATGTGCACCGCATCGGGCGCACGAGGCGGTGTGGGAAGACCGGGATCACCACCACTTTCATCAACAAGAACCAGGTCAGTGCTGTGCTGAGGGGTTCTGAAGTCTATTTTTGAAGCGCCTCAAGAACAGTTAGTGCAGTGCTGAGGGGCTCATGGTAGGTGCGGTTCTGAGGGGTCCTGGTGGGTGCTGTGAGGTTCGGGTGATGGGCTGCTGAAATGGCCAGTTCTGCCCTTTTTTTTTTTTTTTTTTTTTTTTTTTTTGGGCTTTCAGGAGATCCCAGGAGGAAACCAGCCCCCCTTTCCCACGCCGATCCACCTGCAAGCCCCCAGAGGAGACCAATGGCCAGTTCCCATTTCCCACTCTTTTTCTTTTTTCACTTCGTCCACCTGGTTCCCATTCCCCTCCCCATCCCTTCCACTCTCTCCCTCTCCTACCAGCGGGAAACAGCCCTGCTGGATCTGAAGCTCCTGCTCAGCTCAAGGCATCCCTACGTGCTCTCATCTTACCCTCTCTCAACCCCGTTCACCCTGCTGGTGCAGAGCGAGACCATCCTGCTGGACCTGTCGCATCTGCTACGAGAGGCCAAGCAGCGCATCCCACCTGTCCCTTCACCCTTTGCGCTCAATCTCTCCTTTCTCTCCCCTGCTCCTCCTCTCGTCCTCTCCCTCTCTCTCCCCCATTCACCCTGCTGGTACAGAGCGAGACCATCCTGCTGGACCTGAAGCATCTGTTAGGAGAATCCAAGCAAGCAGCGCATCCCCCCTGTCCTCTCACCCTCCGTGCTCTCTTCTTCCCCTCTCCCCCCTTCTCCCCCCCTCCCCCCCATTCACCCTGCTGGTACAGAGCGAGACCATCCTGCTGGACCTGAAGCACCTGCTAAGGGAGGCCAAGCAGCGCATCCCCCCTCTTCTCCCACTCATCCTCTTTCCACCCCCCTTTCCTGTTCACCCTGCTTGTGCAGAGCGAGACCATCCTGCTGGACCTGAAGCATCTGCTACGAGAGGCCAAGCAGTGCATTCCCCCCGTCCTCGCGTCTCTGGACGACCCCATGGAGGATGCGGAGGCGCTCGCAGCGGCGTCAGGAGGGGGGACTTCTGCAGCACACATGCACCGCCATGGGCAGATCTCAACCCCTGCTTTTCCCTCCTTGCTCTCTCCTTTCCCCGTCCCCCCCCTTCCTCTTTCCCCCTTCACCCTTCCACTCTCCCCAGAGCGAGACCATCCTGCTGGACCTGAAGCATCTGCTACGAGAGGCCAAGCAGCGCATCCCACCCGTCCTCGCGTCCCTGGACGACCCCATGGAGGATGCGGAGGCGCTCGCAGCGGCGTCAGGCGTGCGCGGATGCGCCTTCTGTGGCGGTTTGGGCCACCGCATCAGCGAGTGCCCCAAGCTGGAGCACCAGAAGGCACAGGCGATTTCGGGAACTCAGAAGGATTACCTTGGGTCTGGAGGCTATGGAGGCGAAATGTAATGGTTTTGATAATTCTCAAAAACAAAACACAAACTGCGCAGAAACGAGGCCTGCTTACTGGGATGGTATGGCTTCAGGCCAGCATGGGTGGGTGTGCCTTCTGTGGGGGTTTGGCCTGGCCCATCGCATCAGCGCAGCGAGTGCCCCAAGCTGGAGCACCAGAATGTACAGGCGATCTCGGTAACCCAGAAGGATTACCTTGGTTTAGGCGGTTACGGAGGCGAGATGGGTAACATACTTGTGGAAGGGCAAGGAAAAAATGTTCTGCTGGGGTTGGTGTGGCCTTTGGTGTGGGAGGGGTGCATGGTTGTGCGTGGGGTGGTGACGGGGGGGTTGGGGGGGTTGGTTGGGGGGGTGGGGTTGCGTTGGGGGGGTGGGGTTGCGTTGGGGGGGTGGGGTTGCGTTGGTGGGGTTGTGTTGGGGTGCATGGGTGCACCTCCTATCTCTGACTTTTGTCCATGTCTCGAGATGCACGTGTTGCTTGTAAGTGCAAATTATGACAATGTGTCGACACACTAAATACTGTGACTGAAAGAGGGGGACGTGCTTTGCTTTCTAAAAAGAAAACATGTTCTTGTCTTTGTCTAATGCCATAATTATATATCATCAAACCGGTAACATGTTCGCTTCTAATCAGTCATGACATAATCTGTTCGCATCAGGGCACTAACGGGTATGGGCATAGCCAGCTGGGGACTTCAGTGCCTGCTGGAGCTACGGCTGGATGATCTGAATTCTATGGTCCCCCATCCTTCGTCACTCCGTTCCGTCCTTTCCTTGCGATGTCTGTTCAACGGGTATGGCCCGCGTCTCCGGCCGTCCAGAGAACAGACTATCCTACCGAGAGCCGTACGGCGCTCCTCACAACCACGCTCCGAGTGCCACTGCCGGCCAGAAAGTACCCTTGTAGAATACTTCGTCAGAATGAAACTCTGACGGCTTTTCCAGCCAATCAGAGGAGGGTAGCATCGCGCGCGATTGACGGTCGGGATTGGTCGAGAAATAGCGTTCGGGGTGGCGGAGGTGAGAGGAAGAGCCCGCCGTTCGGAAGGGAAAGAGGGGAAGGGGAACGTACCGGTACGGAGGGGCGGAATGCGGTAGGGGAGGGGCGAAGAGGGACACTGTGGGAGAGGGGAGGAAGGGACAGAGACGATTTGCCAGGGAGTGCGGTGTGGTGCAGAGAGGCAGGAGAGGGAAGGGAAGCGGTAGAGAGGAGACAGTTGGGCGGGGGACGAGGGGCCGAAAGTCGGCCGAAAGGCAGCAGTGGCATCGGTCGAAAGCCTTCCGGTGTGAATGCGTGGGTGGCTTCTTCGTGGGAGAGCAGAGGAAATGGCGAATCTAGATCAGATGCAGCTGAGGGAAGAGATAAGGGAGGGGGGCAGAGGGGGGGGAGCAGTAGAGTGGACACGTGGGTGGCACCATCGTGGGAAAGGAAAGGGAGCAGAACGGAGGATGCGCCGGGGAGGGGGGCAGAACGGGGAAGAGAATCAAGCGGGGGGCTGGGGGGAAGGAGCGGGAGAGTGGAGACCTGGGTGGCTCCATCGTGGGCGAAGAAAGGGAAGAGGGCGTGGTGGATGGAGGACGGAGATGGGGAGGATGCGGGTAAGAAAGGGGGGGGTGAGGAAGGTGGGAGAAGAGCAGGGTTGGGGGGAGAGGGCGAAGATCCTGAGGAGGGAGGAGGAGGAAGCGGAGAGAGGGAGGCAGGAAGGGGTCGTTTAAATGAGCAGTATCCCTGGCAGGATCCGCGAGTCAGTGAATCATTATTTGAATCATCAGGTGAATCGTCAGGTGAATCGTCAGGTGAATCGTCAGGTGAAACATCACGTGAAGAATTGCCGTCTGGTGACCAATCAGCGTCAACAGCGGCGCAAGTGCTGGCAACAACAGGCGAGCTAACAGCAGCAACCGCAGCAACAGAAGAAGAAGAAGCAGCAGATGTGGCTTTAAGTACTTCTGCAGCAAGGGAAAGCATGCGGACAGGGGGGACTGCTGGTCACCCAGACGCCCCACAAGGGAAAGCCTGGGCTATTGCACAAACCTCAGCAGCCCATCCCAAAACCTCAACTCCATACCGTCAGAAAGTGCCGGGTCTGGGCCTGCATGGTGGTGGGTTGGCATTGAGCCAGGGTGGGCTGGCAGGGCCTTCAAGCAGCCAGGAGCAGTGGCCGTGGGAGGAAGGCGGGGCAGAGGACAGAGGAAGAGAGGGGGTAGGTACCCGGGGAGAAAGTGGAAGGGGAGGAGACGGAAAGGGAGAAGGCATCAAGGAAGAGGGCGCAGTTGACAAGCACGAACGGAGGCCTATAAAGGCTACGGAAGAGTTGAGGCCATTGAGCGAGAGAGCATTTGATGAGAGAAGGTTGCAGAGGGGAGAAGCAGCTACGCAAGTAGTTGACTCTTGGGGAGCGCATGGTGCTCCTGCTGTGTTTTCTGATCGCAGTGTGGCTGCTGATGGTGGTGTTAAGAGTGTGTCCAACGGGACGAAAGCTGTCAGCTATGGTAGCACCAGGAGCAGCAGCAGCAGCAGGAGTTCAGATCGTAGCGGTAGCCCAAGTCGCACACTGGAGTCTTCTAAGCGTCCAATGCTGAAGTTCTCTGACAACGGCATCCCTGACTTGCCGCCTCCAAGCAGCAGCAGCCTGGAAGTTTGCCGCGACAGCCCTGTAGCCCGAGCGCTGCAGGAGAGGCGCAAGGTGGTGAAGGCAGCGCTGATGTCAGCATTCATCGAGGTGAAACTGGGGAAGGTGTATTCCAGGGAGCTGATCCGGCATCTACCTGCCTTCATCGACCATCTCGTACTTCAGGTGGGTTTCCAGGAGTTTTTTTCAGGTTGTTTTTCCGTTGGGTTTCACGCTGTTTTTCCAGGTGGATTCCAAGGTGGATTTCAGGTGGCGTTCAGGTGGAAGAGCTGGTGTGAGAGGGTCACGGGATGAAACAGGGTTGAGTGGCTTGTGAGATTCCATTTCCCCATTTCTCCCCTCTTCCCATGTCCCAGTGAACACCACTTGGGTGCCATAGGTCTTTACGTGGCAGCAACTTTAGAAACGCTTAAGTAAAACGAGCGTAGAGCTTGCTTAAAAACCTTTGTGAAGATTTTGATGGTAACCGGTTTCGGCTCGAGAGCCTTCTTCATACCACAAAGAAATAAGCGAACTAGCTAGCCTATAAATACCACCTCGAGGACTCCTCGCGAGGCATTCCTCTGCGGGGTCTCGACGATGGCAAGGGAAAGAGAGATAAAACAAACAGTACAAATATACTGTAGTCTAACACTTATGAGCAGAAATAAGAAAATTTCCAGCTCTCTTCGGCAGCCTCCAAGCGAGAATGGTTCTTCTTGAAGCGAAAGTTCCGTGTGACATTGTAACGAGATGACTTTTGAGTCGACTCAAAATGTTCCCCAAGCGCGAACGGTCAACCAGAGGGTTGAGAAGTAGTTTCAGCACCAGGGGGGCACGTTTCGCAGAAGATTGAAATGAAGAGGCGCGTTGAAGAAGTTCCCCACGGTTAGCAAAAGAAACCGACTTAAACACCGGCAGTAGAAACTTTTCCGAGTACCCACGCGCTCTAAGACGAGCAAAGAAAAGTGCGCGGGAATTGAAGAAGTCAGCTCGTGAAGAGGAGCGCAAAAGAAATCTTTGTAGCTCACTCCGGATAAAACCCAGCTTCGTAGACCGAGTATGATAGGACTTAAACGGAAGGTAGGTACCAATTCATCGGCTTCTGAAACAGCTTCATGTCCAAAATGCCAGAATCTTGAAACCTTTTTCCTTTAAACACCGTAAGATCCAGAAAATCCATAGAAGTTTCTGAAATCACCCACGTCAGCCGGATTGAAGGATGAAGGGTGTCGAAACGTTGCTTCATGCAGTTGAATTCCTCCCTCGTTCCTTCCCACAAAATCAAACCGTCATCAATGAAACGAAGGTGAAGAGCGGGAGGGAATTTGAGCGAAGCGTGCAGTTGAAGGTCTAGAAAGCTCAGGAACAGGATTGCGAAACAAACTGCAACGGACGTCCCCATGGCCGTTCCTTGAATTTGTCGGAAAAACCGGCCGTTAAACGAGACATAGCTATTGAACATAACCCCGCGAAGTAGACGAATAATGAGTGGAGCCAAAGGATGTCGTTCTTTATTAAGAAAGTAAGCGACTGCGTCAATGCCATCCCAGAGTGGAATTGAAGGGTAGAGTGACTCCACGTCATACGATGCTAGGAGAAGTTTTTTGGAAAAACCACGCCGCTCTAGTTGAAGAAAAAGACTCTGGGAGTCTTTAACATATGTAGACTGCTTCAAAACAATAGGCCTGAGGACTGAGTCAAGCCAACGAGAGACGTTAGTGGTGATCCAGGAGTGCGAGGCTGCGATCGGCCGGCCAGCAGGGACTTTTTTATGAATCTTCAAGAGCACGTAGAAGGCAGGAACCCTCCATCCATTAGTCAGCTTCGTGAAGAAAGAATCCCAGATTCTGGCTGGTAGAAGCGGGTGAAAATTCTCGCGAATCCCATGTAGATCTCTAAGAATATTTTCAACCGGGACAGAAGAAAACTCCTTGTAGACTTGGCCGTTATGTAGGTGTTCGAAGCATTTAGCTTGATAAAACTCCCTGCTCATAACAGTCAGTCCGAGGTTCTTGTCTGCCGGTTTAAAAATAAGATCTGGATTCCTTGCGAGACGACGAAGCGTAGATATGACATTCGTCGATTTCCGGGTGAGTGTCGAAAAATCCTGTTCAGCGACTTCTTTTATAGCTGCATCCTTAAAAATGGCCAAAGCCGTCTCGATTTCCGAAGAGGCTGGCGCGGATTCCAGTTGGTTAGTTTGGGTAACTTGTACCCTGAACGATTATAAAAAGAGTTAGCTCCATTAAACAGGTACATCGTACGGACACTGCGAAAGAAAGACGTTAATTCAGCTTCGAAGCTCTGGATGCTGCGGATGACAGGTACGGGTATATACTTCAGTCCTAAATTAAGCAGATTCAGCTCGCGACGTGAGAAGACATGGTTACTGTAGTTGTGGATCCCGCGGTTGGTGACTCGACAATGCAGCTGATACTCCGTCTGTCGCCCGAAGAGTATCAATGCGTACGCATGCACATCATCAACTAGCGTCGAGCAGTTTTTCCGCGGTCTCCACCTCCCCCCTTTTTTGCGGCATGACTGCCACGATTGCCAGGGGTGCGCTGCGAAGTCTTCGCGTAAGAATTTCCCACCGTCTTCTCAGCATGCTTATCAGGAGAAATCTGCTTCTTTTTTTCCGTCGGCTTCGGCTTCTTGCCAGTACGCGTGCGAGTCCTCTTGGACTTGAGATCAGCAACAAGGCTCTTCTTGATAGAAACCCCATTCTTGCTCTTCGGAGTATTCTTCTTCTTGGCACCTCGCTGGCTCTTGTCATTGCTAGCAGTGGCCGGTTTAGAACTTTGGTGCAAAATCTTCGCCACTTCTAGGCGGGTAATCTCGCGAACGGAAGTATCAACCGGGAGGGTTTCAGCTTCAGCAATCGCGGCTGCCTTCTTTGCGTCAAGTTCCTCCTTTTTCTGCTTCAGCACTGTTTCAGCCATATTAGTGTCCAAGTAGAACATTGAAATCGAATTCTGGTACTCCAAAATCACGCGACTCTTGAAAAAATCCAAGTTGTCGAAAAGCTTAGGATGCTTGATTCCAAGGTCCGACTTCTTGTTAAGATTGCCAAAATGGTAGAGGTTGTTCTGTAGCGACTGAAGGACAGCAGTAGCCTCGCCATAAGCTTGGTCAGCAGCCTTCTTCTTCATCGCGATCAAAATTTCCTGAGCATTCTGACAATACTTCAATCTAGCGGCTTCGAGGTCCTTATCGATTTCGAGGCGAAGATCTTCGGTATTGCAGACAAAAGTGAACGGCTTGATCTGAATAGAATGCGGAATGATGCCGTTTTTCTTCTGATCCACCATGAAGGCGTGCTGCTGCATCAGGGTCCGGTACTTGAGAAAGAACTTCTTAAAGTCGGAAACAGCCTGATTCTTAAAAATGTTAAACTGAGCACGAGTCGCCTGTTTGTTGAGAAAATCATCGTTAAAAGCACCAAGAAAATCCAAGGTGTCCGACATAAAAGTGTCGCAAGGAATAGGAATATCCTCGAATCCTTGAACTGCTTCCTGCCGGGGAACCGAACTGGAGCTGGGCAACGCCATTGTCACAGGAATAACCCCGGGAGCGTCGATTGCCGTAGCAAGAGTAGCCTCGGAAAAAGCTCGAGCACGCTTCTTGTTATGATGGGAAGCGGAAGGAGAAGTAGGTATCTCCTCCTCTGCGACGACCACCTCTTTATCCCTGCGAGTAGCCTGCCTGAAATTAGCAATGCACTGTGAATTTCTCGTAGGCCTCGGGGGTGTCGGAGCGCGGTCAGTCTTGGTGCTTGTTGGTGTTGTTTTGGTAGCGTTGAATTTGTAGTTGGCCATCGTAGGCTCGAGAGAAAGTCCGAGTGAACACCACTTGGGTGCCATAGGTCTTTACGTGGCAGCAACTTTAGAAACGCTTAAGTAAAACGAGCGTAGAGCTTGCTTAAAAACCTTTGTGAAGATTTTGATGGTAACCGGTTTCGGCTCGAGAGCCTTCTTCAGACCACAAAGAAATAAGCAAACTAGCTAGCCTATAAATACCACCTCGAGGACTCCTCGCGAGGCATTCCTCTGCGGGGTCTCGACGATGGCAAGGGAAAGAGAGATAAAACAAACAGTACAAATATACTGTAGTCTAACACTTATGAGCAAAAATAAGAAAATTTCCAGCTCTCTTCAGCAGCCTCCAAGCGAGAATGGTTCTTCTTGAAGCAAAAGTTCCGTGTGACATTGTAACGAGATGACTTTTGAGTCGACTCAAAAGTCAACAGGGTTGAGTGGCTTGTGAGATTCCATTTCCCCATTTCTCCCCTCTCCCCATGTCCCCCCCCCCCTCCTCCCCATGTCCCCCAGGCTGTTGCCCGACTGGCACTTCACCGTCCATTCCTTCCCCCACCCTGCCGCCCAACTCCCCCAAATCCCCCACGCTCCCCTCCCCTTCCCCTTCCCCTTTCCCCCAGTCAGGCCGTTACCCTCAAGTGGTATCGACACTAAGCCTTCCACCGTTTTCCCCAATCCCCCTCTTACCGGCATTTCCCCCCATCCTCCCCCTTCCCCCCCATCCTCCCCCTTCTCCCCCTTCTCCCCCCAGGCTGTTGCCCTCAAGTCAGACCGGCACTACGCCTTCCACTCCTTCCCCCACCGCGCCGCCATCGCAGTGCACCGCTCTGCACCGCACCTGCTGGCGAAGTGGCTCAAGCAGACAGCCAAGCAGACCTTTGCACGCACGGCTGCTCTCATCACCCTCGCCGCTGCCATGGGGGAGGGGGGTGGGAGGGTTGATCCTTACGCTGTCAGAACTGACAATGCCAGAAGTGACAAAGCTGCTGTAAAGGACGGTGCTGCTGCTCTTATAGAAGGTAGTACTAGTACCGCTGCTGCTGATTGCAGGGAGGGTGCTGCGGCGCTGGGCGTTGAGGGCGAGCGGAGCGCCGTGACTGTATCGAGTGGGCAACAGCGCAGTGGAGTGGTGTGGGTGCGTGACTACATCGAGTGGCTGCACCGAGCGGGGGTGAAGCAAGATGTGGTTGGGCGCGTTGCCGTGCGTAACCCCACCATCCTCGCCACTCCTATACACGACCTCCAGGTGATGCCCTTTTGAGGCGCCTCAAAAGCAGGTGATGCTGAAAGCCTGAAACCTTTTGAGTGTTTTTGAGAATTCTCAAAAACACCCTGCAAACTCAAAAGTCAACCCCGCCATCCTCGCCACTCCTATACCCGACCTCCAGGTAATGCCAGAAACCTGAAACCTTAAGTTTTGGTGCATGCCTGTGAAGCACGATGTGGCTGGCTGGGCGCATCGCCGTGCGCCACCCTGCCATCCATGCCACGCGCATTCACGACCTGCAGGTATTGCCCATTGTTCCAGTAGCGTTGTGCCACTTCGAGAGCAGTCTGAGCTGGGGTGCCTTGAAGGATGTGGCTGGGCGCATCGCCGTGCGCCACCCTGCCATCCGCACCACCCCTATACCCCACCTTAGCTATGGGTACGTGTAAGGCGCCAGGAGTGCTGGTGGATCCCTTTGAGAAGCTTTGCTTATCCTATTCTCCTATCTGCCTCTCACTCACCCTTGTGTTCAGGCTCGCGTGGATTACCTAGTGAATGAAGTCGGGGTGTGAAGGGAGTGGGTGGGGTGGTGCTGAGTAGGGCCCCAGGCGTGCTGGTGGATCCCTTTGACAAGCATCTAGCGAAGGGCCGGCTGCTGCATGTTGTGAATCTGTGATTCTCTCACTTCTGTGTGTTTCTCCCAATGTTTTTGCAGGCTCGTGTGGACTACCTAGTGAACGAGGTTGGAGTGCAGCGAGAATGGATGGGGGTGGTGCTGAGTAAGGCGCCAGGCGTGCTGGTGGATCCCTTTGACAAGCTTCTATCGAAGGGCCGCCTGCTGCACGCTGTGATCGAACCCCTGGCAGTGCTGCAGAGGGAGCAGTGGGAGGAGCGGGAGAGGAGGGAGAGGAGGGAAGGGGGTGGAGCGAGGGAGAGGGAGGAGAGGGAGGAGGGGGAGGAGAGGGAGAGGGAGGGGAGGATGGGGGATGGGAGGGAGAGGGAAGGAACGGAGTTGGAGAGGGAGGGGAGTGAATGGGAAGTAGCAACAAGACCAGCAGCAGCAGCAACAGCAGCAACACCAGCAGCAGCAGCAGCAGCGAAATCTGCAGCAGGAGCAGCAGAGGAAACCCTTCTATCGTCACCAACAGCAGAATCGCTCACCCGTTTTCTCCCCACTCTGGCTTCTCAAGACATCCCAGCATCTCTCCGCTTACCCGAGTCCTTTCAGCAGCACCCCTTACCGAAGAGCGTGGGGGAACTGGCCGGCACTGTGGTGTACAACCATCCCCCTGTGATGAGCGAAGCTGATTTACCCATGGAGGCGTTGCAGGCCAAGGTAAGCAACTTAGCGACAACTCACCTGACTGGCCAGTAGTGTGGTGCAGAACCAACCACCCCCGTGTGATTAGCGAAGTGGATTTACCCTTGGAGGTGTTGCAGGCGAAGGTAAGCAGAGCAGGCAGTCGAGGTAAGCAAACTTCCCTTTCCGCCTCTCTCCGCTCACCAGAGTCCCTCCAGCAGCACCCCCTGCCCAAGAGTGTGGGAGAGCTGGCCCGCACTGTGGCGTACCACCACCTGCACTGCATGTGATGAGCGAGGGGTGCTGCCCATGGAGGCATTGCAGGCTAAGGTAAACAAGCACTTCTTGCCCAAGAGCTGACTTTTGAGTTGACTCAAAAGCCCGCATGTGATGAGAGAGGGGTGCTGCCCATGGAGGCATTGCATTGCAGGCAACAAGGTAAGCACGCACCTCTATGAGGTGCGTTTTGTTTTACTAACCAGCAGACGTGATGGGAATAAGACCCCCTCATCGTGCACCGCTCACACCTGCTGAGACATAAGTGTGTCTTTCTCTTTCTCTCCCCCCTTTTCCTCCCTCCCTCCTCCTTCCAGCTCGCCCCCCCCCCAGAATCGCTCCACATTTGTGGGGCGGGTCTTGCCACAGGTCATTGCGCCAGCCACAGCTGCTGACCCACCAGTGTCCGTCCTCCCTTCCCCCCTCCCCCCGCCCTAGTTTAACAGCTCGCCTTCTTTGAATCCCCTTATATAACGGGGGCAGGACTGGCAAAGATCATCGTTCCTCCCTCTTTCCTCCCCCATGCCATCGTGGGCCGCCCACACCTGCTGAGCGACCAGTGTCTGCAGCCAGTTGATGAGTCTATAAAGTGTGTCTTTCTCTCCCCCCTCCCACCACCCAGCTCGCCTTCTTCGACTCCCTTGGTATAAAAGGCGCAGGCCTCGCGAAGGTCATCGTACGCCGCCCACAGCTGCTGAGCAGCTCTCTGGACGCCACATGGCAGCTGCTGATTCGCTACCTGTCGCTGCTGGGGCTGACTAACGTGCAGATAGGGGAGATGGTGGTGCGCCAGCCTAAAGTGCTGCAGCTGACAGTCCAAGCGGATGTGTCTCCCAAGGTACGGATGTCATGTGTGTGTTCAAGGTATGCGTGTGTCATTCAAATTTCAAGGTGTGCATTCGCTACGTGTCCCTACTGGGACTGACCAGTGTTCAGATAGGCTTGATGAGCCTGATAAGGGAGATGGCAGCGCGGCAGCCCAAGGTGCTGCAGCTGACCGTGCAAGCAGATGTGCCTTCCAAGGTACGGTCAGGTTCACTCAAGGTATGCTTGTCTCCTTAAGGTCTGCATTCACTGCCTGTCGCTGCTGGGGCTGACTCACGCTTAGATGGCGGAGATGGTGCTTCGTTTATGGGAACTCTCAAAAACAAAACACGTCCTCGATGGTGCTGCAGCTGATAGCGCACATGGCTGTCTCCCCTAAGGCTGTCTCCCCTTTGTACGGTTGGTCTGGTATCACCACGGACGAACCGCCCAAGGCATGACTCGCTCCTCTCTTTCCTGTGCCCCGAAGAAGGATGTTCAAGTGGGAGATGGTGGCGCGGCACCCTAAGGTGCTGCAGGCTGCGTCTCACAGTGTAAGCAGACGTCTCCCCTAGGGCATGAAATCTCTATGCTGTGCTCCATTGGTGAGTTTTGAGTCAAAGCCTGTACTAAAAAATCATTTCCCACCTTCCCACCTTTACAGCCTCAGAGAGACTGTAAAGTTGTGGAAGGAGTGAGCTTTTGAAACTTTACATGGATGCAAAAGCCACGTGATATAAGTGTTGTAAAATATATATGTATACAACATGCATGCCTAGATTAGGAGGTGTAGTCATTATATTTATTGGGGGGTTGTTGGTTGGGTTGACTAACCGGCCCGTCCAACCGGATGCTCCTGCGGGCCCTGCACCTCCTCCTCCTGGCGATGCTCCCGTCAGCCCCGGCGATCCTCCAACTTTCGCCCCTGACGTCAACGACCCTCAGAGCTCTGAGACCGCCATCCGCACCTACCGTGCTGGCCTCACCGACCACGTCCGCCAGCAGCTGCTCTACGAGGCTTCCCGCGCCGAGCATGATGCCGCCATTGCCGCCTACACCACATACCAGGCGGCGCTCGCGGAGTACACCAGACGTGAGCGCTCCTACACCACCGACCTCGCCGCCTGGCGTGTCGCTGACCGCCGCGCGCTCACCATCCTCCTCGCCACCATTCCTCCCACCCTCAAGCGGGAGCTTGCTCCCACCTCCTCCTCCCACCTCTGGCGCCTCCTCACCGATCTCTATGATCGGCAGGACGTCGCCACCCTCTACTCCCTCATCAAGGAGTTCCAGAGCCTCACCATGGACTCCACCACTGGCGCAGCGGCCTTCACTCGTCGCGTCCTCGACCTCGCTCGTCGTCTAGCGGCTCTTGGCGTCCCGTACCCGGACCCAGTGCTCTGCTGCCACCTCCTTGAAGGCTTGACTCCTGCCTTCGACACCCACAAGATCGCCTACATGCAGCTTATCGACAAGCGCATCACCCCTGCTGAGGTCGCCCAGTGGATCATCACCACTGAGGCCGACCTCTTGCGCCATTCCTCCTCCACTGCCGCGGTCGCTCAGCAGCGCAACACCAGGGGAGGGCGTGGGGGTGGGCGTGGTGCTGGTCGTGGTGGTGGTGCGGGTCGTGGTGGCAGTGGTGCAGGACGTGGTGCAGCAGCCGCCTTTCCTCCTTGTCAGTATCTCCCTCGCTATGGCCTCACGCGGGGTCAGCGCTGCGGCCAGACCACTCATGCCACTGATTCTTGCTTCAAAGCGCTCAGTGATGAGTGGTTTGCCCGCAGCAACACCGGCACCCCCCCCGCTGGTCCTCCCTCTCCCCTCGCCCAACTCATCAAGAGGTTCGTACCTCCCCTCTCTTCCAGCCCGTCTCCTCCCCGTTGGCTCACCAGGCCGTCTCTCAGCAACAACAGTAGTAGCAGACTCCGCAGCAGTTTCAGCAGCAGCAGCAGTTCCAGCAGCAGCAGCAGCAGCAGGGGCAGCAGCACCTCTTCTCCCAGCTGCAGCAGCAGCTCCAGCAGCTCCAGCAGCAGCTTGACCTCCAGCTGCAGCTCCCCCTTGCACCTCCTCCTATGGCTCCCCCCCAGCAGCCCTACTCTGCTTGGACCGCCGGCACCGTCGCTTCCGCAGCTCACCTCTCGGGCGCGTCTCCTGCGCCCTCAGCCACAGGCAATGTGACTCCTTTCCCCTCCTCTGGTTTTGTTGGTATGGTTAGTCAGGCTGGAACCCCTGCCCCTTCCATGTATTCGGCTGCTATTAATGAGAATGTGATTCAGTACTCTGTCCCACCTCCTCTTCCACATCCTCCGCCTTCCACCACGCTGGACTTTGTCCTTGACAGTGGAGCCACCGAGTCAGTCCTTCGTGATGCTGGTACCCTTCACCCTCTCCCAGCCCCCACCTCCCTCTTTGGTGCCGATTCCAGCTTCTCTATTCCCTGTCGCCACACCTCTACCCTCCCCTGTCCCCTCTTCCCCTCAGGTGCCGTCACTGGTTTACACATCCCCTCCCTCCGTACTAACCTCCTCTCCCAGCGATCCCTGCAGCAGGCCGATATCACCACCGTCTTCCCAGGTCGCGCTAATCACTGCCTCTTATACCATCCCACAGGTCGCCTCCTCTCCCGTATTCCCTTTTGTCCTCGCTCCCGCCTATATACCCTTCAGGTTCCTCGTCTTCCCTCTGCCCAGGCAGTCTCCCGCTCCCTCCCCCCCCTTCACATCCCTCCCCCTCCTCTCCCTCCTATCCCAACCATTCCCCCCCTCCCCCCTGACCCAACTTGCTCCTGTCGATCCCTCTCCCATCCCACCGTCCTCCTCCACCACAGACTTGATCACCCCAACTTTGCCACCCTCCGCTCGACCGTCTCCTCAGGTCTCCTTCGAGGTCTTCCCCTCACCCTCCCTCCCCTCCCTCCCTCCCCTGCCCCACCTTGCCCCGTTTGTGTCTAGAGCAAGCTCAAACAGCTGCCGCATCAGAGTTCTCCCTCCGCTGCTGCTCAGCCTCTTGATCTTGTTCACATGGACCTCTGGGGCCCCAACCCCTCCCCTTCCCGCCAGGGCCATCACTACATGCTTGTTCTGGTCGATGATCACAGCCAATATTCCTCCGTCTCCCTTTTTCGCTCAAAGGGTGACGCTCCGGCTGCGATCATCGCCTGGCTCAAGCAGGCGAGCACCCACTTTGGCCGCCCTGTCCGCCGCCTTCACTCTGATGGCGGTGGCGAATTCCTTAACCGCCAGGTAGCCTCCAAGTGTGAGCTTCATGGCATTCGCCAGACTCACACCCTCCCCCACTCCCCCCAGCAGAATGGTGTGGCCGAGAGCCGTGTTCGGGAGATCACCAAGATTGCTCGGTGTCTCCTCGTCCATGCCTCTTGCCCCCCTTCTCTATGGGGCTATGCCCTCCTTCACGCCACCCTCCTTACTAACCTGTACCCCCACCCCATCCTTCCCTCCACCACTCCCACCGAGCTCTGGACGTCGGCCAAGCTTGACGTCTCCTCCCTCCGTGTGTGGGGCTCCAGGGCGTATGTTCTCATTCACCCTGCGGACCGCCCCCGCACCATGGGAAAGCTCGCCTCCCGTACCCTCCCCTGCATCTTTCTTGGTCATAACCCCTCCTCCTCGGACTACCTCTTCCTTCACCCCCCCTCAGGTCGTTTCCTCCGCAGTCGGGATGTGGTCTTTGATGAGTCCACACCTTACTATTCCACTCCTCCCCCCACTGACCCTCTCGCCCCTGCTCCCAGGCCCTTCACCTGGTCCGACACTACCCCCCCCCCTCTTCTCCCTCCCCCTCCCATCCTCCCCCCCGCTCCACCTCCTCCCCTCCCCGCCGCTTCGGTCCCTAGCGCTCCCCCCTCCTCTGGTGACATCTTTGACCCTGACCCTCTTTTCCCCCCCGCCTCCCCGTCCCACTCCTCCCCCTCTGCTCCCTCCCATCCTCCCCCCTCCCCTCCTCCCCCCTCTCCCCTGCGTCCCCCTCCCCCCTTGCGTCCCACCCGCTCCATCCTCACCCGGTATCCCCACACCAGGTCACGTGATGCAGTCCTAGGTGCCCCGCCTCCTCTCTCCCCTCTCATGGACCTCCTCTTTTAGGCTGTCTTACAACAAAACACTAGCCCAACCTTGCCGTCGAGCTCCACTACAGTAGCCCCAGCAGCAGCAGCAGTCCCACCCACCGCCGAAGCACCAACAGCAGCAGCCGTCGCTCCTTCCTCACCTTCACGCGCAGCAGCAGCAGCGGCCGCAGCAGATGCAGCAGTAGCAGCCGCCTCAACAACAGCAGCAGATGCATCCTCAGCAGCAGCAGCAGCAGCAGCAATTGCAGTCCTCCCATTCATTTTCCACTCCTCCCTCCTCGAGGACTCCGATGAGGAGTTCCTCAACCTCCACCTACATGATCCAGCCCTCCTACCCATCTCCCCTGACCTCACCGGCACACCAGTCTCATCCTCAAGGAGTTGGAGGCGTTTATTGTTAACTCCTCCTTTGTGGATGTGCCCAGCCCTCCCTCTACCACAAACGTGGTCAAAGGGAAGTGGGTGTTTCGGGTGAAGCAGCTGCCTGGCGAGCCGCCGGTCTACAAGGCCCGCTACGTCGCCAAGGGCTTCACCCAGCGCTACGCTGTCGACTTCTTCGACACTTTCTCTCCCACCGCCAAGCCCGCTACCATCCGCGCAGTGCTCGACCTCGCCGCTCGCCTCAACATGGAGATTCACTCCATGGACGTCTCCAATGCATTTCTCCAGGGGGTCTTGCGCGAGCTCATTTACATGGAGCGCCCTGCAGGTTTCCACTTCCCCTTTCCTTCCGACTATGTCTGGCAGCTGTGTCGGCCGGTCTACGGGCTCAAGCAGGCACCAAGGGAGTGGCATGCCAAGCTTGCTGCCACCCTCGCTGAGCTGGGCTTCAACACCTCCCGCACCGACCCCAGCCTCTTCCTCTGCACCTCCCCCTCTCCCTTCTACATCGTCGTCCACGTCGACGATATGATCCTCATCACTGCCGACTCTGCTGAGCTCGAGCGCGTCAAGCGTGAGCTTGGCAGCCGGCTCAAGTGTAAGGAACTTGGGGAGTTGCAGCACTATCTCGGCATGGAGATTACCCGCGACCGTGCTGCTCGCACCATCTCCCTCTCCCAGGGCCACTACCTGCATCAGGTCCTGGAGCGGTTCGACATGGCTCGCGGCACCCCTCAGGTCACCCCTCTTCCTGTTGGGCACCACCTCACTCTCCTCACCTCCCCCTCCTCCTCCTCCCACCCCTACGCTGAGCTCATCGGCTCTCTCATGTATGCCATGGTCTCCACCCGCCCTGACCTGGCATACCCCATCAGCGTATTGGCCCGCTTCGTTGGTATCGGCAAGCATGATGCCATCCACTGGCAAGCGGCCAAGCGTGTCCTCCGCTACCTTCGGGGGACCAAGGACTACGTCCTTACCCTTGGCAGCCCCTCCCCTCCCCTCCTCACAGGCTTCTCTGATTCCTCCTGGGCTGACTCTAGGCCTGACCGCCGCTCCTCTCAGGGCTATGGCTTCTCCCTTGGCAGCGGCATCATCAGCTGGCGCTCCACCCGCTCCTCCTCCATTGCACTCTCCTCTTGCGAAGCAGAGCTATATGCCGCTACTATGGCCGCGCACGAGGCTCGCTAGCTCACCTTCCTTCTTAAGGAGCTTGGTGCCCCTCAGCGCTGTCCCACCATCTGGTGCGACAACGCCAGCACCATCCACCTCACGAAGGATGCTATGTTCCACGGGCGCTCCAAGCACATTGAGCTTCGCCACTACTTCATTCGCGAGCTCGTGCAGGGTGGCCACCTCCAGCTGGGCAAGATTGACTCTGCTGCCAATCTTGCCGACATCTTCACCAAAGCCCTCCCCCATGCCGCCCACTCATCCCTCCTTCGCCTTCTCGGACTCGCTCCCCCCATTCCCTCGTCCGCCTCTTGATTCACGACATCTAGTCTTATGCATGTTGGGGGGTTGTGTTGTAAAATATATATGTATACAACATGCATGCCTAGATTAGGAGGTGTAGTCATTATATTTATTAGGGGCTTGTTGGTTGGGTTGACTAACCCCACATTTGGGTTGGTCAAGATTGGATTTGGTCCTAGACATTTGGTTGGCACTATTCCAACCAAATGGTCCTTGGTCCCAAGACCCAACCAATCACCAAGCACCACACTTTGTGGTTGCTTACCTTCCAAGCAACCTCCCCCATTGGTCCACATTGTGGCCAATCGGAGAGCACCACACTTTGTGGTTGCTTGTCCTCCAAGCTACCTCTCCCATTGGTCTACATTACGGCCAATGGGAGACCTTCCCCTCCATCTCTTCCTTGCTCCTTGTTTGTACAAAAGAGTCTCTTGGCTCCCTACTCAATCTATCTTTTTCTCGTCAAAGCTAGTTCCTTCAATAAGGTTGGTTTTGAGACATTTCAAAACGAACCTTACATCACGTCGCTTCAGTTTTGAGACGTCTCAAAATCTCATGGAGCTCACTGTAGTGCAGCTTACAGTGAAGGCAGGCTCTTCGCCTGAGGTGCAGTCAACGCCATGGAGAGGTGCAGAGCCATGGACATGCAGAGGTGTGCCATCGACATGGAGAGGTGTGCCATCGACATGGAGAGGTGTGCCATCGACATGGAGAGGTGTGCCATCGACATGGAGTGGTGTGCCATCGACATGGAGAGGTGTGCCATCGACATGGAGAGGTGTGCCATCGACATGGAGATGTGTGCCATCGACATGGAGAGGTGTGCCATCGACATGGAGAGGTGTGCCATCGACATGGAGAGGTGTGCCATTGACATTGAGAGGTGTGCAAGCAGATACCTTTCACCCTCAAGCTGATACCTTTGTGCAAGCAGGTATGGTATCAAAGGTGAGACCGCCTGTCTGTGGACCATCTAGTCGCTTTCCCACGGTGAGGGCGATAAGAGTAACAGGTTTTGCAATACCTTTGTTCAAGCAGGTATGGTATCAAAGGTGAGACCGTACCTCCACCTTAAAGTGCTGCAGCTCACAGTGCAGCAAGCAGCGTCTGATCTCTGTTCCCTTGTGTTCCCTTTCCCACCCTTACTGCTCGTCCGCTTCTCGGATCCGTTTTTCTCGGTCTGATTCGAGTTTCCGAGGGGGAGGTAGCTAATGTGCTGCACCCTTTTGACCACCAACCATCGTCCACTCCCCTCCCTGGCTTGCTGGACTGGTCCAACCATCTTGCTGCCCTCCTGCCCGCCTCACCCTGTTTCCTCCTCATCAGGTCCGTTTTCTCCGCCTCATTGGAGTTCCCGAGGGGGAGGTAGCGGGAGTGCTGCACCGCTACCCACCCATCCTCAGCTACAGCCTTGACAAGAAAATCAGGCCTCTGGTATGTGGGGCTGTGTGGCAGGGCGTTGGTGCATTGGCCTCTGTGTGTGTGTGCGCGCGCGAAGGTTGGTGGCACATGTCTTTTGTGGCACTGCGGTCTGACTTGTTTCCCCTGTTCTCTCATCAAACAATATCATATTGTGTTGCTTTGCTGGCCTCTTGCATTCTTTTTAGTCACTGCATCTATCTGTTTGAAGAACGCCAGAACGACCACCAACCGCTTAGATTGGCCAGGTTCAGTTCCTCATCACCGAAGCTGGAGTCCCGGACCTGAGCTCTGGAAATTTACCACTTGGGCCACGTCTCAGCTATTCACCAAACCTTCACTCGGACAGCTCAATCGCTCACCAAACACTCCTTGGATATCCGATACTTGCTTCTTGTTTCTCAACCCCTCTTCATAGGTCCGGTTCCTCGTCGCCGAAGCTGGAGTCCCGGACCACGAGATCTGGAAAGTAGTGGTGGCTAAACCGGACCTGGTGGTGTGCCAACTGGATGGCAGGCTCCGTCCGCTAGTGCGGTTCCTGCTGTCGATGGGAACTGTGAAGGAAGATGTGGGGAGCATGGTGGTTCAGTTTCCCCCTCTCCTGAAATATAATCCTGCAATCTTAAAGCCCAAGTGGCGGTACTTCTCAAGGACCATGCGCCTCTCTGTCGACCATCTAGTCGCTTTCCCGCGGTGAGTGCGATAAGAGGAATAGGTCTTGCCATGGCAGGGTTTAGGGTTTAGGGTTCAGTGCACTGAAGGTGACAGTGAGGGGGGATGTGGGCAGCACAGTGGTGGATTTTCCTCCTCTCCTGCAACACAACCGGCTACTACAGTGGAGTCATTTTTTATAATTCTCAAAAGTTCCCTCCTCTCCTGAAATACAACCTGGCTATTCTGAGGCCCAAGTGGCGGTATTTTTCCAGGATGATGCATCTGACGGTTGACCATTGTGCCACGAGGTGACTTTTGAGTCGACTCAAAAGTCATGGTTGACCATCCTGTCACTTTCCCACAGTGAGCAGATTTGAAGTCAGGCTTAAGCAAAAGAAAGACAGTAAAATTGGGATTTCTACCCACCCTGTCTCTTCCCCCCACTCCCACCATGCCCTCCCTTCCCTCACTCGTTCAGTTACTTCAGCTATGCCTTGGATGCTGCTCGCATTGCTCGGATTGCATTGCATTGCATTGTTCGCATTGCCTTGGCTGCTGCAGCAGCAGGGGCTGTCATACAACCTAAGACACATGCTGTGCTGCTCTGATGCTGCTCTGATGCTGTGTTGCTGTCTCTGTGCTGCTGTGCTCTCTATCTACGATGCCGCATTTCCCGCTCCCACCCTGCCCTCCCTCCCTTCTCACTCTCCATCCGTTCCCCCATGTGTACAGTTACTTCAGCTATGCACTGGATACCAGGATCGCCCCCCGGCATCGGCTGCTGCAGCAGCAGGGACTGTCCTTCAGCCTAAGGCACATGCTGTGCTGCTCTGATGCGCTCTTCCTTGAGCGGGTGAAGTGGGCGCTGGAGGGGAGAGGGGAGGGGAGTGGAGATGGGGGTGAGGAGGATGAAGAAGAGGGGGGAGGGGAGGGAAGCAGAGAGGAGAGTGAGGGGGAAGAGCAGGAGGAAGCAGAGGGAGAGGAGGAAGAGGGGGAAGGAAAGGTGGGGGGAAGAAGGGCGGGCACAGGGTAGAGAAGGACTCAGTCATTCGGGGGCTGGGTCGTTGCCCACTGCAGGGCAGAAGTGTAGGGAAGGGGAGGGAAGGGAAGAGAGTGATTCATCCATAAATGCAAGATCCTTGGAGAAAGGAGTGTGATTCACGCTTATTCGCCTTGGCCTGCATCTGAATGGACTTCTCCTTGGAAGAAACTTATTGAGTACCGGTACTCATTCACACCAGTCTAGTCTAATGCCGGCCAGGCCAGGCCAGGCCAGGCCAGCCGACTCTCCATTGTGCGTCTTCGCCTTGGTCTGCTGCTTGTTGACCTTCTCTTTGCCCTTCTCCAGCAGCGCGCATGCATGCCACACCGCAGACTGGTTAAAGCACATCCAGATCAGTCAAGCGAGAGGGACAACCAACCCACCCATCCACTCCCTGTTCCCCATCTTTGCCCTTGCTGTCGAGAGACCCACTGGGGTTGCCCTTGAGATCCTCGCGGAAGGCTACAGGCCTCTATGCCCAGGGGGTTGTGGGTGCACTGACCCGCTACTTAAAGCCCTTTGCTAAAATTACACAGCTGGGGCTCACTTGAAACTTGTATTTTTCCTTTCAGGCAGAAAAACTTTCCATAATTTTGTTGGGCAAACATTGAGAACACACGCAAAACCAAACGCGAGGGTGAACGAGGGCAGGCATTGGTGCGCGGCACTTGCATCATGCCGACGACGCCCAAAAGTGAGCGCGCGAGAACCACTCACATCGCAGAACCAAGCCCAATGACCACACCAGGCGACCAGCCCCCCTATGGCATTTTCAAGTGGACCCCCACTTTGCATTTGATGCGGTGTACTCGCCAGGGCCTTTTCTAGGACGCTAGCGCGTTAGGAGGCAGACAAGGTCCTTAGTAGCCCATAGTCCAGCGCCTCGTCGGCCAATTCGGCACGGGACCTGGGTTAGACGCTCGGAACTACGTACGCGACGAAAAAGCCTGCGAAAGATAGGCCGCCACGTCCCGTTCCACGACTTTATTCGAATATACGTCCGCTAATATTCACTCCGGCTCTCCCGTCGTGCAACGGCCATCCCCCCTTTCCCGTCGCACAAACCGACCCTCACCCCTCTCCCGTCGCGCAAATCGACCCTCCCCCTTCTGCCGTCATTACTCTTTCCCTCCCTCTCTCCCATTGTTACGCTTCCCCTCCCTCTCTCCCGTCGTTACGCTTCCCCTCCCTCTCTCCCGTCGTTACGCTTCCCCTCCCTCTCTCCCGTCGTTACGCTTTCTCTCCCTCTCTCCCGTCGTTACGCTTCCCCTCCCTCTCTCCCGTCGGGTTACGCTCCCCCCCCCCCTTCTCCCTCTCCAGTCGCAATATGCTTCCCCCCCCTCCCTTCTCTCTCCTGCTGCGCGCCCTACCCTCGCTCCCTATGGTTACGCTTCCCTCCCATCTCTCTCCCATCGTTACGCTTTCCTCCCGCCTCTCTTCCTTCATTACGCTTCCCACCCCTCTCTCTCCCATCGCGTTACACTTCCCTGCCCACCCAGAAGGGATGGGGAGAGAGAGAGCACAGGGAGGGGAAGGGATGAGAAGGGACATGGCAGGCCGGGGAGAAGGGATGGGAGAGAGATGGTAGGGAGAGGGGGAGGCATGGGAATATACATGGCAGGGAGAGAAGGGGGAAGGGATGGGGAGGGAGATGCAAAATTGGGGGGGACAGATGTGGAGGGAGGTGGCAGAGAGGGGGAAAGGGATGGGGAGGGGTGAGGGAGGGGGAGGGGGGTGGGGATGGAGATGGCAGAGATGACATAGACCCCTCCTGTCTCTCTTTCACCCATCCCTCCCTCCGCTGCCTTGTGTGCTTCCCCCCTTTCACCCCTGCCTTGTGTGCTTCCCCCCTTTCACCCCTGCCTTGTGATCTTCCCCCCTTTCACCCCTGCCTTGTGTGCTTCCCCCCTTTCACCCCTGCCTTGTGTGCTTCCCCCTTTTCACCCCTGCCTTCTGTGCTTCCCCCCTTTCACCCCTGCCTTCTGTGCTTCCCCCCTTTCACCCCTGCCTTGTGTGCTTCCCCCCTTTCACCCCTGCCTTGTGTGCTTCCCCCCTTTCACCCCTGCCTTCTGTGCTTCCCCCCTTTCACCCCTGCCCCTCTAACTGCCCTGGTTCCCCATCTCCTTGTCTCCCTTTCTTCCCTGCTGTCTCTCGCTCCCCCCCCTCTCACTCACTCTCTCTCTCTCTCTCTCTCTCTCTCTCTCTCTCTCTCTCTCTCTCTCTCTCTCTCTCTCTCTCTCTCTCTCTCTCTCTCTCTCTCTCTCTCTCTCAAGCGGTCTGTGTATTATATGAAACCTGGGTACAACCGAGACAAGTGGGGAGAGTTTACACAAGCTCATCCCTTTACCCCTCTCCCCCCCTAATGGAGCCCACTAAAGCTGCTCGGCCCGTGGCTCAAGAATGGCAAGACAATCCCCCAGGGAGAAATCGGCCCCGGGGCAGCCGACTGGGGGGTTGTCAGACAGCGCCGCCTCATGTACCTTCTCTAGGTAGGCAATAGCCTGGGCGCGCTGCAGAGTGACCGACCAGAGCTGGTGGAACTGGTGGAGCAGTCTTGCTGCCTGGTACGAGGTTGGGTCCGTGTTGAAGAGCCTCCTGGCGGTCGTGTGGGCCAGGAGCTTCAGGAACTGGGGGACCTCGTTGCACGGGCAGCCATAGGTTTCAACCGCCAAGGGAAACAGGCCCACGTAGGCCGCGCGGTTGCGGTAGTGGTGCACCTTTTTCCCGGCCTGCTCCCGTGCCATGTATCCTCTGCCCTTGCGGGCCGTGGGGTCGCGGGTGCTGATGGGGTCGGTGATGGTGACATCGCAGATCCACACCGCACCGGAGTCCCGATGTCGGATGGCCAGGTCGGCCGTGAGGTCGTCCACTGGGTTGAACACTGCTGTCTCTTTGTGCACGATGAACTCCGCGTCTCGTGCCATACGAATGCACTCGTCGCGGAGGGCATTGTGGGTGTTCATGCAGCCATGCCCGGTCCCGCACCTAAGGAGATGGTTAGGGAGGCGCGGGTCCTCGAACGTGTATCTGTCCGCACAGTCGCAGACCCGAGGGGCTGGGCAAGGGAGTCCCATGCGGAAGGCCAGGGCAAAGGCGAAATGTTGGGGGCCGAGGTGGAGGGGCGGGTTTAGCGGGATTGCGAGGAGCCAATCCTCTGCCCCGTACCCCGTGAGTGATAGGAGCCGCTGGGTATGGCCCATGAGGGGGTTCAGCTCCATCTCGCGAGAGGCTTCCAGCAGCTCCGCGTACCGCGCCCCCTGTACCTCCAGGGAGAGGCGATGCTGTAGGGGTTCCCCCGACGGCTCCAATGCCACCAGGGGCAAGCTTGCTTCACACGCCGCCAGCCAGTTGTGGAGCGGGGTCGGGCTGGAGAAGGGCGGGCAGATGGGTCGGGCAGCGTTGGCCAGGGGGCTGTTTGGGGCGTCGGGCAAGGAGGAGAGGAGTGCGTGCGCATGGGCCACACTGGTAAGGAAGGAGTGGGGACCTTCCACGACGGGGTCGGCGAGGCCCAGTCCCCCGAGTGAGGGGGGTAGCGATGCCTGGGACCAGGTGCGGCTGAGTTCCACCTCTCCCCGCGGGAGGCGCAGGCCACAAGCGCGGAGCAGGGTATGGAAGAGCTCTCTGCCCCAAGTAGACCACTCTGCGGAGGGGAGCGAGACTAGGGGTGTGGTGCGTACTAGGTAGGATACGCGGCGCGAGACACAACGTGTCAGCAGCAGGCATGCCACCTGCGGGTCCATGGTGGCAAGTGTCGGCAGGGGGGCTGCCAGTTCGGTGAGTTTGTTTCGGAGGAAGCACTACGCACCCTCCTGGGGCCCGACGTGGCTCCCAAGGACCTGTAATCCATCGTCGTGGTATGGGACCCCAGCAGGAAGCGCCGTTGGTGGCGGGCCCAAGGGCGACCAGGCCGAGCATTTTGCGGGGTTGTGGGTAAGGCCCAGAGGCGCGAGTGCGGCAATGAAGGCGTCGAAGGCGGCGGTGCAGGCGAGCGGCTCGCCTAGTCGAGGTGCAGTAGTGAGGGGCGGCAGTAGGAGAGGCGGATCAGGGGAAGGAGGCAGCGGAGCGGGGAGTCGGCGATTGCCGCGACTGTTGCGGCTCGCTTGACGCTATTAAATGTGTTGGTAAGGCCCACCTGTAGAATCAGGGCGCGGGGGACTTCTTCAGCGAACGCTCTGGTCGCGTGGATGATGGTTTCCCCTCCTCCTCTCACTGTCACGCCAAATTGCACAGGGAGGAAGTAGTCCTGTGCTGCTGAGGAGCTGGCAACCAGGGCGGCTTTGTTGGCGAGCCGCAGGAGACATTCGCCAATAGCGATCGGCCTGGTGCCCCCGCTGGGCTTCGTGAAGGCTAGTAGGCGAGAAGCAGTTAGCAGGTCCGCGACGTCGTTTGGCGGATAGCCAGCGATAACCACGTTCACCAGCTTGTGCAGGTTACTGGCGATGTCGGCGTTAGTCAACGCAGCGTCGCAAAAATGTTCGAATGTGGACCCCGAGGGCCCAGCCCCTACGCCGTTTTCGCAGAAGGCGAGAAGCTTGGCGAAATCGGTGAACGGGATGGTGGGGGGAGGGTGTTCGTCGTCACCAGCTAGCCATGGAAACGACACGGTCAATGGCGGGGGGTGTTTCGATTTCAATGCGTCTAGGACCTCGGGTGTTGCTGGGCTGATTGGGGTTGACTCCAGAGCCATCAGCGCCCTCCTTAGGCTCCCGCGCCTAGCCAGTCCCTCTGCTCGAGAGATTTTCCCCCGCAAGTCAGGAGTGTGACGTGGTGGGGGCGGAAAGTGGACAGCCAGGATCGCCCTCTCGTATAGGGCTTGCCATTCGCCTCTCAGAAATCGTTTCAGACTGTTCTCCGTCGCCAATCAATCCGGTTTCCTGGCGAGAGCAGGCGAAGGGTTAGGCGGGGCACGAACAGTAACAGGCGCCACCCTAGCAACGAGAAGGGGGCTTTTGCCAGATGGAGGAGCGAGATCAACATCGCCAGCGCGAAAAGAGGGCGGATTTTGCGAGGCAGTCGGCGTAAAAGTGGGGGTTGTTTGCTGTTGCACAGGCCCGCCATGTTCCAACTGGCGATTTTAGCGAACAGGGATCCGTCCGCAGCGAGCTCTTCAGGGGACCGCTGCGATGGTGGTTGGGCGTGGGCATCCCCATCGTCCCTTGTACTCCGCCGAGCAGGCGTTCCTGCCTCCCTGTATCTGGGGATACTTCGCGAGTTCCCTCCCCTTCTCGAGTTATCTCTTGATTCTGTTTCTGTCATTTCTGATCCCTTCGTGCTCGGCTCTTGTGGAATACCAGGGTTATAAGTCGCATCTCGACGCTCCTCCTTGTCAGTAGTCTCCCGCGCTTCTCGATCCCTTAAAGCCCTCCTCGCAGCCTGCACGAATCCCGTCGCTGGCCCCCCCACCCCGCGCGAGGGGTCCTTCGCCTCTCCCCTGTCCTCCGCCACGTCCCTGCCTTCCAAGATGCCCGTCCGCTCCGCGCCCGCCTCCGCGGCGTCCATCGCGCCCTGGGGTGTCGTGCCATCCAGTGCCGCCCACTGTTTGGGGCCCCGCTGGCGATGGAGCCAATTG